CCCAGCCAGTTGTAACACACTTCAAGCCGCCTGGGAAGTTGTCACTGCTTGCAGGCAAACACACAACAGACACATGGGTGTTCAGCTGGGCAGCAGAGGCCAGCCTGATCAGGGTGATGTCGTTGTTAATGGTGTATGAATTGTAGTTGGGGTGCTGGATAACCTGCACTTTCAAAAAATAGAGAGAGAGAGAGAGAGAGAGAGAGAGAGAGAGAGAGCAAGGACAGGTGCACAATTATATGTGACACATACTGCCTGATTAGTCTCAATTACAAAACTGGACTATTTTGATTTATAACATTTAAATTTACTAGACATACGCCATTCAATTTTAAACACTGCATTTAAACTTCTGTTCTGAAAATCTGTTTCTGTACTGTGTCAGAAAGAATGTGAGAAAAGTTCACTGGGTTGGTACCCTCTAGGGAACATAACTGTACCATACTCTGTTACAATTATTTTATTTAAGTTGCGCTGACTCAATATACCCTGGCTTGGTTCCAGGCTTTTTTTTTAAAAAAAAACTCATTTATATTACACAGTTGAGTCTTAGGGACTACAGTGTATCATAAAGAACCATTACACTAAAACTGTTTCTACTTTTATTGGACTAAAATGTACTTGTACAGTACCCTTTGTCTGACAGTGTATAAGCACAATACAAACCCTTCCAACAGCCAAGGTCTGGATAGCCTCAGCGTTAGAGGAGCGGTCATGCTCTCCAAGGATAACACGGTGAGATGTTCTGCAAAACAAGATATTAGAATATTTCCAGTTTATTGCAAATACAGAACATTAATTGGTGTGTTTTTGCCAAAATCAAACAAAACTTTGAGATTAAAACCACTTTCAAACAGGATCAGGCATAAAACAATTTAATAGTGCTGGTACAGTTTAACTTCTGGATAACCTCGCTGTGACATTGCAATTAAGAATTTGTCATGTACTTTTGCACAAGATACATTGTTCTATACATGAGTTGCATTTACATGCACTAGTGTCACTAGTGTTGTTTCCACACTTAGTGTAGTTCCTTTAGAAGCTAAACGAAGAGTTTAGTTGGAAAACCTGAAACCCAAATTTCTGTTGCTACCTGACACCACAGTGAGCAGCGGTCACCACCCAGTACTGGTTGATGAGGGAGCCACCACAGAAGTGGAATCCTGTACTGTCCTGAGAAGAGAGGTGTTTGAGAAGAGAACTGTTTAAAGCACTAATTGTATTAAAGTGAGTTGAGTGATGGTGAGAGACAAGTGTCAAAAAATAAGTGTCAGTCTCACCTGTAGAGACACCTGCCAGGGCCAGGAATGGGGCACTGCCTCCTCACCATTCACAATCCTGGCATATCCAGTGATCACAGGCGGGATGGCAGGAACACCGCAGCCTAAAAATATCACACAAACAATTTCTCTCCTAATGAGCATTAATCATTTTAATCAATATCCCTGTCAGCATTGAGTGACAGTAACACTGTGTCAGTGTCATCATGACCTTAAAGCTTGGAGCGAAAAATTCAGTTTTTACCAAATTTCTATCAGAGAGATACACACTATTTTTTTTTATTTATTATAATTTTTTTTTATTTATTGGTTCTAATTAACCCCAATTTGTGCATGACATGCAGCGCTTCTGAGTGCATTAGCACTTTTGGTGAATATTAAAACTTTGTAACTTTTTTTATTATAAACGTCTTTTTCTTCTCCTGAAAACTTACCATTTCAGAAATGTGAGATTTTTTCATATAAAAGCAACATTATCGTACATTGACAGGTACCGAGAAGGACCCTGCATACTGAGAGAATGTTATGTCGAGTTAAGTTACGTACCATATGCTGTGCCGATGAAGGCGAGACAGGAGAGAATCCACAGGAGAGCCATGTTTTCAGTTTGCTGTGGCTAAGATAGAGTAAAGGTTTTTATAAGACCTCTGAAGCCTTGAATTCAGCACATATGGTTAAACCACACCAAAATAATGCCAGCTTCACCTGTTTCATCCGTGTTATCAGAGCAATTTATTCCCATGCTGCAAATTCAGAAATTGCTTTGGAAAACTGCTCCTACATTAGCAAGTAGTCAGAATCAGTGTACCTGCATCTCATTACTGTGCTGGACTTTCGTGTTTTCATTTGAGGAGTTCACTGGGATTAAAAATAAACAAATATGTTTGCTGTGCTTATTTAGATCTTTGCCTTTAATCTTGTTTGATTCTTATTTATATTATTTATATTTATACTTATGTCTTTAGTTCATGCAGCAACAGGATTTCTTTGAGCTCACTGGGCTTGAATACCTTTCAGTATTTATTACATAAATGGGCCATAAAAAACAACTTAAACAACTACGTAGTGGCTACAAAATCAGTGAAAAAAGAGTAGGATGTGATTAAAATATATATTTTGTGATTCAAGTATATATTTTTCTTTTTAATTGAGGAGGACGCCACACAAAATTCACTGTTTAAAATTTCAGCCTTGGGCAGTATTGATTTATTCAGGCTTGATAAGCGAGTTATTCTGTGACTGGTAGGCTAAAAATATGAGATAACAGGAGAGGGGAACCTTTAACACATTTTTTTAATGCCAGATGTCTCAGACATTTGTATCAGTGTACAAGAGTGTAGCTTTGCTCTTTTTAAGAATCTATTACAATACAGTTGTATTATTTCACAGCGGACAGTACATGCTGTTAGGAGAAACATTCCTTTTTTATTTCATTTACACTGTTCCTCACTGTTACTGGTTTAAAGTCTTCCTCATGTAATTCTTTTGTTTCATAAAAATGCACTTATCATTTAAATGAAGTTCCAAAATTCTAAATATTTTATTTTTCTCTCTCAACATCTGCTTCAGTTCACTGCTGCTCCCACAATCGCCCAAACAGCAGTCCAGTACAACACCAATGATAAGTTGGAAGACGGCTGATGCTGACAGTCAGGGGCAAGAAGATGAGCCTCTTAGTTTGGATAGCCTAGGTGCAAGACATGCATTGTGGGCCTGGACCTTCTGAGAAACAATGGGTGACAGATGGACCTAAAGAGTGCCACGTTGAGTTTCAGAGGTGGCCATGTGGTGACGATGAGGCAGTGGGCATCGCACGGCACTTGACAGTGGACAGCCCTACTCTAGCACACCCCAGGAGTTCTCTAGTCTTTATTACACTTGGTTCATTTTACTAAGGACTCTTACTGTAGAGAGCGAGGCTAGAAACCACCCATGTGTGCGTAAGTATTTGTGATCTGAGAAAGAACGAGAGATGAGAGACGTGAGCTGAGTCAGAAAGCAAACTGTTAGAGAAAAGCTTTGCTCATGTACAGCATAGCGGTGGTCTACAACAGCTGAAAAATAAAGCACCACAACTTCTGTAAAAGCCATGTCTTAATAGCGGGGGACGCTACTTGGGGCGGGGGGTGATAGAGCATATTATCATGATACTGCGTATGGCAATATTGTATCAATTCACGAACGCCAAATATGAATACATGGACGCCAATTATCGATATTATATAACTTGAAAATATTAATGAATCTTTTCTTAATACTAGAATGATAGAATCAGTTGCTTTTTCAGTCCACTAGATGGTGCTTGTATTTTCTGGTGAGGTCAGCAGAGATGACAGTCAGCGGAAGGACAAATGACACAGATATGACATGCGATTTGCAAGAAGTGTCATATGAAAATGAAATACTCTACGAATACTACAAACATGAGGGCTCACCTCACACGCCATCATCCAGAGACAGCATTGACCTATGATGTCAAACAAGGCTGAAGTTGGCTTCCTATTCACCAGGTTCTTGTTCAAATTTTCCTGTTCCACCTTAAATAGTTCAGCAGTTACATTCAGGCACCAGAAGATAATAGTTCTACAAACCATTTAGTTTTTCACTGAGGTAATAATGAGCCTCTAGTTGGAATTTTCAGCTTCTTATTTGCCAGCTTCTTGTACGAATTTTCCTATTCCACCTTAAATGGTGCTGCAGTTACATTCTGGCACATCAGGCACCAGAAAATAACTGCTGCACCATTTAAGGTGGAATTGGAAAATTTGAACAAGAAGTTGGCAAATAAGACGCTGACTTTTGGTTTGTTGATGGCAAAGCCAATGTAAAATCAACTCCACCAAAATAAAATCAGCTTTACAAAGCCACCTTCCAGTTCATGCATCCATACAACACAGCTGTACCTAAGCTCTGCAGAGAAATGAAGTTTAAAGTGGAAGAATCTTTGAGTACAGCAGAAATGATTGTATTAATGTGCGATGCATGGATGTCAAGGACACTGGATTCCTATGTGACTGTATCAGCACATTATCTCACAGAGGACTGGCGACTGCTGTCTCATGTTCTCCAACCTAGAGCAGTACAACGAAAGTTATACTGGGACAAACATTGCAGACCTCCTGCAAAATGTAGCACACGAATGCAAGATTGCCAGCAAAAACCTGATGATTGTATTTGCAGTTGAAAGAAGGTAATAAATCACAATATGTTGCAATATATTTGAAATCGCAATAATATCGTATCGTGACGTAAGTATCATGCTAATATCGTATCGTAGGGCCTTTAGCGGTTCCCCCCTAAACACTGCAATGTGGTCAAACACAAACTGACTTCAGAGTTCAGGAAGTTTCTAATCGTTGTTTTATTGCTGATATTTCTTCCTTTCTTCTTTTGTCTGCTTAGCTCAAAGCACAGTCAGGTAAGACTCCAGTCCAAAACCGTGTGTAACCGTGAGTCAGACCGTGAGCTCATCGCTGTACCAATGTCCTCTACATAATAAACGACTAAATGAATTCAAAGCTTTGTCAGTCAGGTAGAAACAAAAAGCCTGTTCATTCAGCCTTGTTTGTTTTCTATTGTTAAAAGTTCATTATTCTCGTGTTGCTTCCCTCGGCGGGCGGACGCTTCCGTTGCTAGGAGAAACGCTTCCATAACGGCGTGCATGGTTACACCTGAGGAGCCAATCACATTCCTCTCCGACATGATTGACGTGTGTGTGGTGTGAGCTCAGTGCGGGGGGCGGGACTACAAAACAAGCAGGCAAGCTGAACTCGCACACAACAATCCGAGAGAGCGCTGCCTTTGATTCAGTTAACGTTACTCAAAATACCGGTGAGTTACAAAACGTTACATATCGAACTGACATTCGCGCTCATTGTGGCTTTTAGAGTAGTTATCTGTTTCATTAGTTGTAGCTCGGGCAAGGTGACTTCGCTTTGCTAGCAGATTTTAACTTAACTTAGCTAGAACGTTGGCTAGCTAACGTTAGCGTTTTGCTAGCTAGCCTAGACTTTCTTTCCGATTTGCTGTTGTTATACTCCCGCAAACAAAACACTGTTTTGAGCTGAAATTTCTAAGTGGCCACTTTACTAATCGTTCACTTCATGAAGGGTTTGACGAGCTGACGTATTGAATGAGTTGTATTAAATCAGGGTAAATACTGTTATTCACTGCTGTGGCCTTTCTAGACACTCCAGTGATAACGGTGGAGACTTAGGTTAATTACACTGCATAAACAGTGCTTTGGTTCAGAACTGGAGTGAGTATGTATTTGTATGTGTTTGTCTGGACTACCGGACTATCGGGCTGCCTGACCGTTGCCCTGTTGAGTTTTACTGTCATAAAAGTAATATATGACTCCCAAATACCCCTCATCTTAGACCTCCATTGCCTGTGTCTGGGTTGTAGCTAAACAATGCAGTGCAGTTGGTGTCTCTCAGTAGATTTAGAGCTATTACTAACACAGGATCTCTAGTTGCACATATTGTATTAATACATGTTTCTTGACCTCTCAGGCTTGTGATGTCAGCCCTTCAGTCTGCTTCTTCTAAAAGTTTTACCTCAACACCACTCAAAAGTAAATCTGCCATCCCAAGGAGCATCCCTAGAAGCAAGAGCGTGGAATCAACAGGCGACTCAACCTACTCCTTGCTCTCACCCATTTACCATGATAGCTTTGATTTTTCGGATGAAGATAATGAAGAGGCACCAAAACAGTATCAGCCTGCTGACAACTCCTCTCTCACAGTGCATGAAGATGGATTATCAGTCAGTCACAGCAGGTATATTTGTCTCAGTTACTATCCAAGACATATTTGTATTAATTAGCATAACACTGTCAGTTGCAAGAATTTAAGTACCAGAAAGCAACATTTTTAGAGTTTTTAATTACTGTTGTTGCTTTTTCAGGAATGAGACACTGGAGTCACTTTGTGCACAAAACACTTCTACTGGAAAGTTAAACCTGAGTGCATGGGAGCAGTGGGTTGTAAGCAAAGCTAAAGAGGAACGGATGAAAATGCAACAGAAAACCTTAGAAGTATGTTCTACCAGTGAGATCACTGACAACAGTGTGGTCATTCAGTCCTTTTTTTTACAGACAGTTTTTCTATAATGCTGAAAACCTGACTCTTACTAGAAATGGTGTTTTGTTGTATAAAATGGTTTGAATAATATTTTGTCTCCCTATAAATAACCAAAATATAGGTGACATCATACATAACTGCTTTATCTCACTTTAGCACAAACCTGTAAAGATGCATTGAACATTGTATTTCAGCAAGAAGCTTTAAAAGAAAAGAAGGCCAAAGAAGAAACAGAACAACAGAGGAAAAAGGCAGTCAGTGAGTGTAAAATTCAAGAGTGGCTCCAAATGAAAAAAGAACAGGTAGTTATAATTAATAATTTAAAGATAACAAATACATAAAGCATAACACAGAATCAGAGATATGTAACTATTTTTTTCTGTGAAAAAGTAATGCTACATTGAAAAATAAATCTGCTAATCTGTAAAGTTCTATGACATTTAATTATATTCCTAATGGAAGCAAATGATTTTCTTCTTTGCCAGGAAAAACATGAAAAGTTTTGCAGGGAGTCCCAGAAGACTAAAAAAATGCTGTATGAAGAACAGAAACGGCTGGAAATCGAAAGAAAAGCCCAAGAAAAATATAAAGAGTGGCTTAGACAGAAAAAACAAGAGGAAATGGTGAGGAAGTTAGAAGAGCAGGTAAGTTTATTAGAGGCATCCAAAATTATTGCAAAATATATCATTAAAAACAATAAAGTATTACATTAAATTTATTTTGATTTTTCATCTGCCTAAAAGGAAGAAATAGCCAGAGGAGAAAAGGAGGAGAGAGAACGTAAAGAGCGGGCAGAGGAGAAGTTTAAAGAGTGGCTTAAAAACATAAAGGACAAAGACAGACATAAACGTCAGTTGTCAGCATGTCCAGCTGGTGAGTGGGAAAATTGTGGCTTTAAAAAGTTCAGTTTGCTTTCAGTCTAATAGACGTTTAAGTACTGTTTGTGTGAAAATTACAGACTCAAATCATCACTATAATCTTCATAAATTTCAGAGTTTACTCACTTGTCTGAACTTGTCTGCTTGTCTGACGACATGAGACATTACAACACAAAGGAGAAACAGAGCCTTTGTTTTGCCCTCACTAAATGTAGGGAAGGCATCACTGTTGGGATGAATTACTGTTAACCTGACTTGACATCTTACACTGAAAGATAACATTTGAAGCTTGTATGACCTGATTCATTGATATTATGATGTATATGAAAAATTACGTGTTTTTCTTGTTTTCAGGTGGCTATAATAATCTGAACTACCCCTCACCTACTTTTGTGAACCCTATCCCATGGAAGCCCATTCACATCCCCCAGCAAAACAGTACGCCCAGGAAGAACTTGGCGCACAAGAAGCAGCCAGGTCTACCAAAGTATCAGTCAACTCCGTGCTTTAGTTACAAACCCAAAGACACTTTTAGCTTTGCATGCAAAAGGAGGTGACAACCTGTGGTCAAAGGCAAACATTAGCTTTTACTCTGATTAACGTGGATCAATTGGGAGGGCATTTGTCATTTTAGGGACTGGACTCACGATGGGAGAAATGTTAGAGGTTTATGTGCGCCTATCTAGACAGTTATCTGCATAAGTACAGTACAGTACAGTACACTCCTCCGTGAACTGAACACTTACCGTGATTTATAGTTCACACACCCTTTAGTTTTCCACATTACTGATACACATCACTCACATCAATGAATGTCACAGATGTGTTCTAAAACCATGTAGTTTTTTGGCAGAATGAATAGAGAAGTGTGATTAAGTAGTTTCGTTTTTGAAAAATGTAACATTTTAATTTTCCCAAATAAAACATTGTTTGGAAACAGTACCAGTGATTGTGAACACTGTGTGATAGAAAAGTTGTGAACATTGCGAAGTCAAACTTGCTACAGAAAATATTACATATGAAAGAAACCTATGTACTTGTATAACGAAGCTGCTGGTGTTTTCCAAACAGTGGACTGACCACCCCAGAGTCCAGACCTGAACATCACTTAATGTGTTTGGGATTATTTGGATCATGAGAAGCAGAAAATGCAACCAGTTTCTGAGACTGAACTTCGGAGGTGTGGAAAAAGCTTAAATGTAAGCTAATAAAGGCAAAAGCAAAAATGAATGACTTGGACTTAATGGTTGTTTTGACTGTGGATTAAATAAATGATGGGTGGACTTGCATAATACTGTTTTTCTAACAAGGCTATTTTGAATTAATATTCTAAAACAGAAACAGTAAAGGGTCTGTATTTGCCTTTCAGTTTCTCTGATGTTTTGCATTCAGTTGTGTGTAATGTCAGTGTTCCAAGAAAGCAGGGAAAGACCAGGCTTGTTGAGAGTGTGATAATAAGCATTGTCGTTAATGGGTCTTGATAGTTGTTTATACATACAGGCACCATACATGACTTACTCCTACACTTGTGTCTCACAAAGATGTCTCTGTCTCAGCTTACATGCTCTAAGCAGCCCATATTCAAGGGGGTCTAGTGAAAAACTAAAACTGGTCATGATTATAAGTTTTGCTTTTTTTGTTATTTCTTTATCAAAAGAGAATTTGAGTGCATTATTGTCTTCCTCACTACCTAGCAGTGAAACTAGAGATTAAAAATTTCGTTCATTGTACAGCATTGACTAAATATCAGCTATCAGATTTAGTCAGCAAATCTGCTTTTAGGTTTCATTTTTTCTGAAACTGTGTCTTTATTTGTAAAGTCATCTTGTGACGACACAAAAGGCTTCTGACTCAAAGACAGGGCTGAATGCCAGATGTGTCCTGCGCACACTCATGTGTATTGTCCAGTGTCCAGCAGTGCCTTGTGGCCCTCTGTGTTGACGCCAGGGCTGTGTGAGTGGTGTATGTGGGTGTATGAATAGGAAGAGATGAGAAGAGGGTCTTAAGCGTTCATACACCCGCATCATCACAGCTTGTTACACAAAGAAACTCCTTACTGGACTAGAGGTAATGTAAAATATGTCCATTCTCTCTTTCAGCTGTTTAACACGTACTGCCATATTGTCAGGTTTTGTTTATTGGAATGCGTTTGGTGTGACTAATTAGGGAGTCGACAGACAGGGAGGGCAGCCAGACTGAATGGACAACTTTGGCTGCTCTGGGTCTCCTGCAACGCTTTGGCTCAGTGTTTCAGAGAATTGAATGTACTTCTGTAAGCTGATCCTCTGGTCGGCTTATAAGGACAGAAAGCTATTAGAGCGAGACAGGGCACGCTTTAGCGAGTTACGTGTTTACATGCCGACCAAAGGTCACCTCTCAAGAACTTGAAAATGTGTGTGTGTGTGTGTGTGCTATTGTGTTTGTATTGCAGGACGTGCTGTATAACTGCTCTTTCAGGAATGGTAGACAGAGATTGGATAGTACATTTTCACCTGTTTTAAGTAACTTTCTTTTTGCATATCAAAATGTGTTCTGCTCTGGTAGGAACCAAAGTTTGCCTAAAAACCTTTCCAGGAGATGCAGTGGTGCAAGTGGGCAGGCAACTGGAAATCTCGCCTACCAGGACAGGTAAGAGGTGTGTTTGTGTACATTTTAATCAGAGTGAAGGGGGAGAGGGAAAGCAAAGGAGGAAGACAGCAACGCTCAATGAATACAACAATGTAGTTGCCAGATCAGTAATTCAAAAGATCTGTTAGATATCTTGGTTTCTTTTAAATGTCACTGAGTTTTTAACGGTCAGAGGGGGCACTTGGTCCTGTGTATTGTCAGAATGATGGACATTACATTCTAGACACTGATCAGTATAACAGAAAAGCCTTTCAGACATATCTAAGCAGAAAACAGGGATTAGTGTGTAGAGAGTGTGGAAGATCTTGGTGTGATACCCGTCTCAGTGTTCATCATGACCACACAGTCCACAGGAGCACAGGAAGAGGATGCCTGTGAGTTCCTCTTTAAAATCGTCTTCATTGGCGACAGCAACGTGGGAAAGACTTGTGTTATCCACAGCTTCAAGTCTGGGGAGTTCAGAGATAAACACCATAACACTATTGGTGTAGACTTCATTGTGCATTCCATGGACATTGATGGCAAGAAAGTAAAGGTGAGTACACTGAATTGTCACTTTCACCAAGAACCAGGTGAATCAGTGTTTAAGTTTTTACAGATGCAAACGTAATGTTATGATTGACAGCATAATGACAAATACATGTAAAATAATCTTAAGTCACATTGTCTCAGTAAAATGTTTTCAAAGCACCAGTTAAAACTAAAACAAGCCAGGCAAAACTAAAACAAATGAATGGGCAGGTAGGTATTTCTTGCAAACCTAAAATGTATGTGCTTCATATAGCATTTTACATACAATACTGTGCAAAAGTCCCCCCATCATTTATTTCCAGTCAAAACAGCCATAAAGTACAAGTTATACATTTTTCAACAGATATTTCTGAGGAGATTAGATATAACACTTGCATAAGGAAGAGAAAAACGTGAAAGAATTCTTAAAAATACAGAGAGAATGAGAATCCTGGAAGACCTGGTAGACCACCAACACTGTCACCATCAGATTAACCTAACTTAAAGCTTTCATCTCTGAGAGAGAGGAGAAAATCAAGCTCCACTCTTACTTCATATCTGAAAAAATCTACAGCTGTTTCTGTTCATCCTTCCACTGTGAGAAGACAACTCAACACTGTGAGCCTGAAAGGATGTGTAGCTGTAACTGAGAAAAGGAAACAGATGAAAATAAAGAAAATCTGTAAATCAAACAAAGCAGCTGCTGGTTTTCTCAGAACAGTGGACTGACCCCCCAGGGTCCAGACCTCAACATCACTGAATGTGTTTGGGAATATTTGGAATCTGATAAGTAGAAAATACAACCAACTTCTAAGAGTAAACTTGGAGGTGTGGAAAAATATCCCCTGCAACAAGTCTGTAAGAAAGAATGGAAGCTGTAATAAACGCAATGTGTGAACACATTAAGCACTGACAGTTGTTGAGGCTTCTGTGTAATCTTCATATTTTCTGCCTTTTTCCTGACTCTGAATGAAAAAAATAATGACGTGCATTTAATGGTCATTTTGACTGGAAATGGCATAAATGAATGGTGGTGTTTGACTTCTACACAGTACTGTATTCCTAACAAGTACTCTCTCATTTGTGTCCAGTGTTATGTTCTCAGTTTATTAGATGTCATCTGATAATGTCTGATAAAGAGTATTCTGTCACATTTATGATCAAAGACCCCTATATTGGAGCATGCCATACCATGAATATTTCTTTGTGGAACCTTTTATTTCAGTAATGTCTAGTTTCCTCTGCAGAACACTGACCTTGCTGCAGACAGGCTGTTGTACTATTTCCCCAGAATGAAGACTATTTCCAGTTAGACTGTTACTCATTAAAGACCAAGCCCACTGAATTTTCCAGAAATTTCCCTTCCCCCCCCAAAATTCTATTTACCTAGCTAATCAGCAACCCTATTATGTTAGCTGTAATACATTGTGAGTGCTAAATTCTGCAGAATTTAGTTCCCAACCATACATTTAATGCATTTTATTCTCAAATTCAATATCTGTATAAAAAGTCTACGCTCTGTTGCAGATGCAGATCTGGGACACTGCCGGACAGGAGCGTTTCCGCACCATCACTCAGAGTTACTACCGCAGTGCTCATGGGGCTATGATTGCCTATGACCTGACACGTCGCTCCACCTTTGACTCACTGCCTCACTGGATTCAGGCTGTAGAGCAATACGGAGCTGCCAATGTAGTCTTTGTTCTTATAGGTATGTGCATGTGCTGTTGACGCATTAAGATCCCTTCTAGAAAAAACAGCATAGACCAGCATAGCTGGTCACCAGCAAAACCAGCATATGTTGTGTTTTTGATGCTGGTATGCTGGTCAGCAGCAATGGATGTTGATGTGCTAATCACCAACAAAAACCAGCATGTGTTGTGTTTTGATGCTGGTTTTGGTGGTGATTAGCACATCAACATCCATTGCTGCTGACCAGCATACCAGCATCAAAAACACAACATATGCTGGTCTGGGTCTGGTTTAGCTGGTCACCCTAGCAGTTTCATCCTGGTTGACCAGCTAAACCAGACCCAGACCAGCAATAGTCCAACATAAGCAGCATAGACAAGCTTAGAACAGCATAGACCAGCATGAAATGCCTGCTGGTCTGTGCGTTTTTTTTCAGCAGGGATAATCCTTCTAATTAGTGAATTCAGCTACTTTAAGCACCCATTACTGACACAAGTGTTTAGTTTTGCACACACAGCTTGTGTAATATCTGTAGAAAAGCATTTCTAATAGAATGGAACACTTTGGAACAGCCCAAGGTCACCATACTGAATGGGAAAGTTGACTAGAGGGTTATAATGCCCCTCAGATTTGGGCTGTGTAGCAGTGGAACTGTGTTCTCTGAAGTGGAGCTCCATCCAACACTTTTGAGATGAGCTGGAATGACATTTGTGATCCACAACTGATCAACCAACATCAATCCCTGACCAGACTAATGCTCTTGCGGCTGAATGCAATCAAATCCTCACAGCAATGTTCCACCATCTAGTATCAAGACATCCCAGAAGAGTAGAGGCTGTTACTGCAACAAAGGAGGCACAAACTCCCAATTAATACCCTTGATTACAGAAGAAATGTTGGATAAGCAGGTGTCTGCAAACCTTTGGACAAACAGTGTACCCTACATGGAAGTGCTATGACTTTCAGGGCTTTTTTGACCTTGAACAAATCAGAGGCAGTCAGTCCTTCCCACCAGATATGATCAAATAAGCAGGCGTCTCATCCTCCTCCTCTTTTTCTTCTTTTTTCCTCAGGTAATAAGTGTGACCTGGCCCCTCAGAGGCAGGTACTCTTCGAGGATGCCTGTACACTGGCAGAACAGACGGGGGCCTTGGCAGCCCTGGAGACATCCGCCAAAGAAAACCGCAACGTACAAGAGGCCTTTGAGCTTATGGCACGGGAGCTAATAGTGCGAAATGGAGGCCTGGTTCATCAGGAAGTCCAGTTGAACCCTCTCCCATATTATGACTCTCACCCAATAGATGAAGTGGAGTCTCTAAAGAAAAAGTCATGCGACTGCTGAAATGTGATTTTAGAGGGATGGTGCCTTTTTTAGGAACTTTTAACTACTTGACTGACATTCACTTAGCCCATTAACTACATTAGTACTGGGAAAACCTGTCTGACATCTGCAGCTCGGAGGAGCAATGTCTATAGATGCACTCCAGTGATAAAAAAGAGACTTTGGTCCCTTTTGCACTTACTGACAAAAATAGACTGTCACATGTAGTCAGTGCACAAAGAACCATATGTGCAGAGCCATATTTAACTTAACTATGTTTAACTTATGAATTAATTTAAGAACTTCAGTTATGCTCCACATGTTAACACAGGCTGTAAAATAAAGTGAAAAATGAGAAAAATGCAATGGTTGTGAATTTTCAGTACAAAATACTCAGAGACCAAGTATCTTCTATTACATTTATTTGGCATGAGAGCAAGCAAAGACAAATGTCAACTTTAAAAACAGTGACTGGCAAAAAATATAAATAAAACAAAGGCAAATATTTATCAGACAAGATTTTTCCCTTTTTAAAAGCAACAAAGAAAACATGGTATACTGCATTGCATGGCTGAGCATAGGATATGTAACATGTTGCATACAATATTAAAACCCTCAAAAAATTAAAATACCACAACCCTTCTACTCAAAAACAAGACTTTCATTATTACAGTGCTGAAACACAACAGTAAACCTGATGCCTTAATTAAAGAGACACCACACAGATGAGTTCTTTCATATTAAACAGGCTAGAACAGGCAAAACTGTGACATGACAGTTAAACAAAATGCCTGCTCTTAACGTTCCTTTCTTTTCACTTCCCTAATATGGCTTCATTTAAACATGATAAACTATAAAAAAATCTATTTCTACTAAAAGTCCTAGTATTTGAATGTGTTATCCTATACTCTATATTTGCGGTTACAGTTAAAAATTGTTCATGTTCAAGTTCTTGCATTAGCTGACCTAGAAGCATACTGCATTTCTTCATGTGCAAAGTTTGACCTGCCCACCCCCTCCGGTGTGTGAGGTAATCTATCTTGGTGGGCCTGAACAGACTCTGGTTTATTCTAGAGGCCAGCCCTCTTGCTGGAAGACCAGCTCCACAGCCTCTAGTACATCATGAACCACAAAGGAGGGCCGGGTCAGGTTCGGGTCAAAGCGAAAGTCCCGGTGCCCATGGAAGATGCGCTGCTCTGTGACCGTCTGGTCAGGGGGCAGGTCCTGCTGGTCTCGGTTGTAGACACCTGTGCAGACCAGGATGGAACTACAGCCCTCTGGCAAACGATGCTCATATGAGCCTCCAACCATCACCTTACCTGAGTTTTTAGCATCATCAACTGTTTCATACTGAATATCACCTGCTACCTGACTAGCCGAGCCTCCCTGAGCCTGCACCTGAGCCCTGGCATGGTGCATCGACTGTAGGTAGCGGTTATAAAGGTTTGCACCATAGATGTCAGCCATTGGGTTGTCCCTGTATGAGACAGGTCTGTGTTAGAGTAAAGAAATTGGCAAGACATGGATAAAAAAAGATTGCCACAAAAAGTAGCAACAGCAGAATCAGGCATAACTCACCCAATGGCATAAAGTCTCTGGACAGGTTCAGTCCAGCCCAGACTCTCTGCCTGCTGTCTAATCAGCAGCTCAGCATAGTTGTAAGTTACCACACTGGGCTTCCCAATCAGAGCCTCATACTGCAGGTCGTAACCTGTGATCTTCTTATAGATGCTCTCCAGACAGACAAGGAACATTCCATGACCAAATCTATAAAATAGACATAACAAATCTTATAACAAGCTTTTTAGTTAGTAATATCAAGAGTTATAGACTGTGATCTGAAATAAAAGTATTAGTCCTAATGCAATACTCCCGTCCTCTATGCTCAATAGTATCATTAGCAAAGCGGCCATGGTTGTTATATACATGCTGTCAAAGACTGCATTAATCAACCATAAAAGAAAAAACTGACCGAGGGTTCTTTGCTTCTGCCATCCACAACAGGTCCATATTGCAGGCCAACACAGGGATATGTGGGTATTTAATTGAAGTCACAGTGTTTCCTGGCCTTCCATTAGTCAAGAGAACATCCACAATCAGCTGTAGATTAGTCTCCCACCTGATCGGCTCACCAAAGAGAACGACAGCTGAAAATGAAAGTGCTTAGTGAAATCATGTGGAACTGGACTTGCAGGCAATGACCTAATAATAAGGAGAAAGGGAAACTTAAGTGCACTTTGGTGCAAAGTAACAGCACTTACCCTCAATTTGTGGCAATTCCTTGGAAGGAGGAACCTGAAATATATTGTATCATATTGCAATTTACACTCATGTAGGAGGACCACTGTCATTTTAAATGTATAAATACACCTAAGTGGCATAAAAATGTCACTTTCGGTTTTTATCTTAGAACAAAATAATGGTCTTCAAATGAATTTCATCTAAAAATTGTAACTGTGGGTGAACTGTTCCATTTCCAATAATTGTCAACTCACCACATCTTTGGGTCTGCGATTGTGATCCACCACGTCCAAAAGAGGGTATGCCTCTCGCAGCATATCTATGGTGATAGCATTTTGAAAACCCAAACTGGAGAGGATTTTGTTAAGGTCAAATGTGAAAAGATGTGCCAACACTTTCCAAGATGAATTCTGTATTTTCTAATTGTCAGTGTCTACATGTTTCTGACTGTATCCTGCATAATTTCAAAAGACGCATATATAGAGCACAAATACACCTAAATGGATTTGCAGAAAGTCTAGTTTAACAGGTTTTACTAAATTCCACTAGAACAATTGTTTATCAAGTTATCTTTGCAATTTGTTAGCTTAACTGTAAAACATTTCCAGCTCAACATGACAAAACAATAACATTAAATTGATGTTCTGTTTTTCTTTCTTTGTGTAAAGATAACTACATCCATTTACTATTCAACCAGCTATACTGTATGTGATGTGCTTCACTTGTTGGACCTTAAGGGTCAGGGTCCTATTTAAAAGTGCTGCAATACTGTAAGACTCCTGTCTGTCAGCACATTTTGTACTGAGATGCTTTTGTAACGTACAGAAGCTTAAGTGGATTGATTGAGAGTTAAGGTAAGTGAACATAAACAGCAGTTTAGAGGATACTTATGTGCAACTTCCAAGACTGGCCCCTGCCCGGATACCAACACACACATCTCATGAAACTGACTAAAGACCCGCAAAGGACTGTGGGACAACATGACCTGGTCTGGTGACACCTGAAGGAAAAAGGGAAAAAAAAAAAAAACATTAATAGACTAATCTGGACAAAACATTTTGACGATCTGGACTTGGACTGCAAGTTGCTTTGGATAAAAACCTCTGTCAAATGAATAAATGTGAATGTATGTATATGAAACCCTTACCTCCACTTCTAGAAGATGAGATAATTGCTCAGCTTTGGTCTGCCGGACACAGTTCCCTGCATTGGTCACAAAAACCACAGGGACTTTATACTTTCCATTTCCATCCACCAGCTTCCTAAAGCACTGCTTAGCTGCTGGAATGGGAGTTCTTCCACGGACCAGGACCCCATCAATGTCGAAAAGCAGCCCAAATGAGTTGAGTCCACACTAGGAAGGTTTAAAGAAAAACGTTTTCAAAAATTGTTCAGCCTGGTTTCCCCAATATGGTCAAATTTGGATATTATAAGAAAAAGAAAGCATACGACTAACATACCAAGTGATCAATAAGACAATGCTGCCAACTTGTTTAGAGGGTCAAAAACATTCATCATAAAAAGGACTTTAAAGTCCCCAATAAAAAAGATCTGTGGTAAAACTACAGGATTCCTATCTAACAGTAAGTTTGGAAAATTGTTACAGTTCACAACCACTATAGACTACTTCAAGGAGTAGTGTAAGAGGTGAAATTACTGTAGATTAAAATTGAAGTATTATGCAACATTATATATCAATAGTTTTTTTTTTTTTTAAGTAAATCATTTTGTAAGGGATAATCTTAAATAAATAAACACTCCTCATGAGAAGAGATGATTATTTGTTTTAGTTTTATTTGTACTATGTCAAAGTACTACACTAGGGGAGAGGGGGAATCAGGTTAAAGTCCATGAAATCATCTAGGGGCCCCTGCCCCAGCCAACTCTATCAAGTATTACCTGCCGGTATCCCCGTAATGTAATGCAATGACAATTCAACACAAAGCTGACTTGATGTGGAGCGACTAACGACTAACGGGAGCCCTACACTAGTTTCAGAAGAGATTCACTATTATTCCCGTCTGTTAGCCACCACAACATAAAGGAAACACATGACTGCCACAGCCAGTAAAGTAAAGTACTTTTAGTCGACCTAAGAAATCCACTCACACTGCTGCTGAAGCGGCGGGTCTGCGCGGCTGGAGCGGTTAGCGGTGTTTTCCTGAACCGCAGAGCTCTCCATCCGAGTTTAAGCACGTTGAACCGAGGAATGAACTCTGCCATCCCGTCGCTGTTGAGTGATATGCTGTAACACGCAGTGAATACCTCGCCCTGTCCTGAGAGCGACCCTTCATCGGTTTACCCGTTGACCGAGTGCTGGTCTGGCTATCCAGCGTTAGCGTTAGCGTTAGCATAGCATCATTCGTGAAAGTGTGAAGTCCTCTGGAAACCAATAATACCGCGATAACGTTACTGTGGAAACTGAGCGACGGTCCTGATAGAAGTATTACTTGTCTTTGATATAATAAAAGATAAAATAATAACTATACAGACTGAATAAAAACAAGTAGCTATATGTCAAATAAAAAAACAAAGCTTTTCCGCCGGCCGGCTGACTCAACCCCAACCACAGACTACTCGTTACGTGTTTGCGCATACGCTGCGCATCGTTGACGCCTTGTTGATCCCCAGTAACGCCTTTCGTTCCCAAGCAAACTAGCTAACAAAAGCACGAACTTCAGTCCTGTTTAAGGTAATAAACGATGGAAACTGTTTTACACCTTTTACTTACGGAATTGTAAAACGCACATGTTGATAAATAAGCTTCAGCTCAAAAGATCTAATGCCAGAAAGCTTAGTTTGCTGTAGAGCTCTGTCTCGCTGGAAGCTGAGCGTTTCTAGCTAGGACAGCGTAGCTAGCAAACACTGTATGTGTATGACCGTAACGGTAATGTTTCTTGTTTAAACTGCAGGTTTGTCAGCTTCCAGTAACTAGTCTTTAGTCACACAGCTAGCAGCTATATGTTGTATAAGTTTTATTAAAACTGAAACAGATCGTCCCGCTGGTTGTCCGGTGCTGCTCTTCTTGCTCATGTTTGTTCTGTCCGTTCAAATTTCCCTCCGTCACCGTGGAGCTTCCTGACAACCGCCGCTCAACAAGTGGCCCTTAATGTTACACGTCCAGTTTAATTATGTGGTCTAATCTGGGCTGTTTTATGGTGCAGCATTACATATATGTTAGCTGATGCTTTACCATGCAGTTTGATTAGAACTTGGTTTGTTGTACATTCTAGCTAATTCCATTGTTTGTTATTTATGTTAGATTATTGATAACCTGGAATATCAAATTCAGATCTTATTTAATTTAGTGTGTTACTTTTAATACTTTTGGTCTGCGTCAAACGTGTTGCTGATTGACATATTTACCTGCTTTTTCCAGGCATAAAACAGTGGGATGGACTCTCCTTCCCAGCGTATCAGAGAGGGGTAGGTGTTTTTGTCTTCAGTCCCAATACAGTACTGCAGCCTGGTCTCTCCTCTGAGACACTTCACACATATGTAACTGAGGAGGTCACTAAGCAGGACTTTTCACTTAGCTGAATCACTGAAGCCAAATGTCAAATACATCCCTGACTTGTTTTTGGTTAAATGACAATTTCTGCTTTGTTACGTTATCATAGAGTTATTTTGTGCCATACGCGCTTAAATAATTTCAGAACAATTAAGTTGCAGCCTCATTTTCAAAAATAGTGGCTCCTAACTCCTAATAGTGGCTCCTAACTCAGGTCACCCAGAACGGTCCACATTTTTTCTTCATCCTCTTGTGTGGAACGTGGGATTGGGGCAAAAATGTCGACTGTCCGGAGGCCAAGGTAGGAACAATAAAGATCTATAGTAAAATTACAGGAAATGGTTTTACACAGTATTTTTTTACCCACAGAATTATAAAACGCACATGTTCATCTGTTCTGAAACACCAAGGGAAGGGTTGTAGGACTCTGGCCCTCATAAAAGTCACAAATCCATCAACAGCACAACCTTTATGCCTTGCATTATGTCTGAAAGGCATTATTGTTGAAAATCAGTAGAAATACATCATACCTTGTTCGGCTGATAAAGTACATAGAATTCAGGGCTGCTTTTCCTCACACAGACTAAAAGTATTCAATAAAGCGTTTTGAGTTGTAATTATTTAATGCAAATTATGCCTCTGTCACATAAGACAGCCCTCAGGGTTGTTTGCAATTAAGCCTCTGTCTTGGATAAAAATGAGTTTCATTGGCCATCGGATGTATAATATAGATCATCCCTCTGTGATCAGTTCTCTTTCATATTTGCCTTTAAACAAACTTGTGTCAAAGGTAGATTTAAGGGTTTTATGAAGTGTTTCCTCTATTTCAAAATACAAATAATATATTGGGTCGAATCTCCTCTCCCTTTTTCTTTAATCCTCTCTGTGGATTAGCTGTGAGGCCAGGCAGGAGGCGGACTCCCCGCTGCCCCCCATTTCCGAGCGCCTGGCCTATCTGCGTCCATCTCGGGAACTGCTGGAGTTCTATAGGCAGAAAGTGGCCCAGTTTGACGGAGAACACGATGACCTGCTGCAGCTGCTAGAAAAGTACAGGAGCACTACAGAGGACCAGGTAGGCCACCATTATCGGAACAGAGTGTATATATTAGGGTATACATCTTGAAATGTTGAAATTGATATGTGGACGTGGATTTCTTGCACTGTGAACTTCAGTATTTATTGAGTGTGTGTTTGTGCATGTAAAACTGTGTTTCTGTAGCACAAGCTGCAGTGGGAGGTGCGTCAGCGAGAAGAGGAGATAGCAGAGCTGCAAAAAGCTCTGAGTGACATGCAGGTCTACCTCTTCCAAGAGCGAGAGCAGGCTCTCCGCCTGTATGCAGAGAACGACCGCCTAAAGATCAAGTGAGAATTTTCTGCTTCTGTCAGTCAGAGATACAGTTGATGTGTATTTTATTAGTTGCTAAGTAAAAAGCACACAATTTAAAATAATCATTGGACATAAAACCAGCTGGTTGGCAAGACACATTAATTTGTTCAAATTTGGAGTAATTTGTCCAAGATTTGGCTTGTTCTGTGTTCACAAGAGACATTAAACTGTGCAATGGAGCGCCACTTTTCCCACCTCACTGCGTATAAAGTAATGCAGCCAAAGTGAAAGATTTAACACCGTCGTCTTGCTGCCCAGGGAACTTGAAGATCGGAAGAAGATTCAGCACCTTTTAGCCCTTGTGGGTCCAGATGCAGGTGAAATCACCTATTTTCACAAAGAGCCTCCACACATGGTTAGAAAATATCATTATTTTCATCATTTTCTATTGTGAAAGTCTTTTTATTTATTTATTTTATTTTTTTTTAAGTTACAAGACAGCAGTATAGATCTGCTTGCTGTGCAACTTTTTCTTAGGTCACAATTCCTCAAAAGAAGCTCCAGTCCAGAACCCAGGATTATGGAAAAGTAGTAAAACCAAAGCCTGGATCAGTAAAAGGTTTGTGTTGAGGTCTGCAAATCCATTCATGTATCAGATTATATTACAGACTCCTTAAATCCTGAAGAAAATCCATGGAGTTAAGTTCTTATCTCTACCAATCAGCTTATCCGTTGAGATTAATTTGGCCTGCTGCTCTAGTATTTGCCTCAGTTCACCATTTTGCTTTGTTGTCATGTAGAGGGGAGCAAGAAGACGTCCAAGGATGGAGGAAAGGACACAAGCTCAGAGCAGTACAAGAAAGATAACCAGACGCTGTTGCTACAGGTGTGTATAAAGGCCTCTTGATGTCTAATTGAAGAATGATCTGTATTAGAATATTGCAGCCTTCAATTTATGCACTCTGTTGGTAGGACAAAATATTATCCCAGGTGTGATATGCATGCTAAGCCTGTGTTTGCCAGGTGGAGGCGCTACAAGCACAGCTGGAAGAGCAAACTCGGCTGGCTAAAGAGCAAGTGGAGGCCCTGCTGGAGGACAGGCGAATTCACATGGAGGAGGGACAGGTCCAGCATCAGAGAGACCAGGAGAGAATCACTGTCCTCACTGAGAAGTAGCTGCTTCTTTCTGAAATCTATTTTGTGCTCACATTGTTTGCCACATTTTGATCCCTATGACCAAGTCATTGTAATACGTCTCTTATGTTCTAAAGGCTTTGACCAAATGTACTAAATATTTACAAAATTACAAATTTAGGATCAGTGCATCAGTACTGAAAATCAGTATAATCTCATCTGAGGCTTTGTTTCTTAACAAATCATCTGTCTTGAATATGTCTTGCACATTGAATTTTGCTTGCCATCCTCCCACCCAGACTTCAGCGCACACAGAACCTCCTCTATGAGAGCACCAGGGACTTCCTGCAGCTCAAGTTTGAAAGCCGAGGGCGTGAGAAGAGCTGGATGGTGGAGAAGGACAGGCTGCTGAGAGAGCTGGACTCCTGCCAAGAGAGGCTAAGGGAATCGCACAAATTCCCAGATCAGCCAGGACCCTCTGTAGCCCCCTTGCTCCTCACCCAGCCTGCACCAGAGAGCAACCAGATGCATCGAGAGGAGATCAGGGTAAGAACAGAGAAAAAAAGTCCTTTCCTCCTGTCCTCTCCTGCCCTCCACTGTATTAATCTCCCTATAAATCATGGAACTTTCTGTGCAGTCCATGGCTTTATATCCCCCCATTCTTAGTGTTTGACATAGCACCCATAGCAAAATCCCTATAAAGTAAATGCAGCAAACAAATCAGCTGTAGAACAAATAACGTAATGTTGTTGATGTCAGTAATTGACCTTATATGCTCTCATGTCTCTTACATAGGCACTGCAAGAGGAGCTAAAGCAAGCCCATAAGTTGGCAGACATGTACAGAGAGCAGTGTGTTGGTCTGGAGACAGATCTGGCGCAAATCCGAGAGGAAGGAGATGTAGGCAGAGAGATCTTCAAAGTAAGCTGCTTTTAAAACCTGCCCTGGTCAAATGTGAAGACATGGTAATTATTTTGGTTGGTGATTTTAGGTGATGTAAAGTGGCATGCATGTCATATGTGTTTGGTTTCTGTCTGTAGGAGCGCTCAGACAAAATGGCCAAGCGTCTTCAGTTAATGACTCAGCGTTATGAGGCTTTGGAAAAAAGACGAGCTATGGAGGTGGAGGGCTTCAAGACTGACATAAAACACCTGCGACAGAAAGCTTAAAGATGTGGAGAAACAGCTTTTTAAGGTGCTCAATCAACTTGCATTAAGTCAGCTATCATGAAGACAAATAGTTAAGCTACAGTTACTGTACATTTTTTTTTTTTAGACAGTAGTCATTTTAAGTAGCTTGCTACTAGGTAAAAAAGGCTGACTAGCTGAGTGAGTTGTTACATAGCTTCTTCTGACAAATAAGTACAAATGAGTGTAAAACCTAGTAGGGGGGTTTGCTTGTTTATCCGTTTACGTGTCCAACAGAACAAGTGACAGGGAGAGTCATTTTTTAACTTATACATTTAAATAGACAAAAATAAGATGGGTCGTTTTACCTCATGACAGCAGCAGTTTTAAGTTTAGCAGAAGGCATTTATCAGTTTCTTTTGTTTTTAGGTGACTCTTAATGTGGGACCTGATCAAGACCTGGCCATCCTGCATGAAGTCCGACAGTCAAATGCTTGTACCAAGAAAATCCAGGGGGAACTAAAAACCCTAAAAGCAAAGATATATGGACTGGAAAACGAGCTGAGATTCAGCTGATTTCTGAAGTTTGAAGAACTTATAACATTTTAAGTCCTTTAATACGTAAATTATTTTAGATTTAAAATTAAATGTTCAGTTTCATCAAGATGACAGTCATGTTAGAGGTAAGTTATGCCTGTTGTTAGTGATGGTCCTCAGCCAAATCATTAGTGCATAATGTCTGCATTTCACACTGAGGACTAGAGCTATGCAGATTGGAGGTGCAGTAGTCTGAGGGTGTTTATATTTTGTTAATGTCCAAATGCTAGCAGCATTGGCAGTAGTGGACATGTGTGTGCCATGTTGCATGGTTCTCATTTAAATGAGGTTGTATATATTCATTTCTAAGGATGATTTTAATTAAAACTGAATTTTGTTTTTACTGGCATGTTCCAGACTTGGCCTAAAAAGTGTGTGTGGGGCATCGCATTCATAATTTGTCTTCTTTCCACTGAGGAGTATATTTTGTGTGTCCATTTCTGCAATGCATTTACTTCCTGTTGCATTTAAAAATAGATGTGGAAGAGAAGCATCACCTTCAGAGTAGCATTGCCTGGACTGTCCAGGTTTTTGGGTGCCTATTCAAGAAAAAAAATTCCAAATGAAAAAAGAAATCCAGTAAAACCATTTGCATGCACAGAAATTCAGATTACCCTCGACATAGGAACTATTGTGTGGGCAAGATGCACTGCTGGCACTGTCCTGCAACGTAGAAAACTGAGAGGATTAAGTACTGCAACTGCAAGCTACTTGTTCGCTTAATTTAGTAAAAAATCAAGCCACTGATGAAGTGTCTAGGAATTTTACAGAGCTGAGGTGGCAACCCTGCTTGAGATCACACTATCACAAACTAAGCAAGGATGCATGTCCTAAAACTCTTTGGGTTTGGCCAGTGAGGTAACCGAAAACCAGATGTGAGACATTCAGCACAGAATAGGCATTTGTTGCTTTCAAACTTGTTGGCATAGCACCAGTCTGATGATGAGCATTCATTAAATGAGCTTTGACTATAGTTAGGTCCTTCAGTAACCATGAAAAGGTCCTATCTGGTCCTTAGGTCTTTCAGTAGTTAAGATTTGAGAATGTCCTCCTAAACTAACCTGTCTGGTCTGACACAAGTCAGCATTAATCACAGGCAAATACATAGAACAGGTAAAAAAATACATGGAACAGTTTTAAAAAATGTATGATTCTGCCATAATAGTTTATGGCAGAATCATACATTTAAATGACCAAAGTTAATTAATTTAATTCTACCATTATCTGTGATTTATTCTTTTGAGGGCTTGACCTTTTTTCTTCTGTAATAAGTCTGACAATGGTCACCAACCCTCTTCCTGGAGATTTTCCTTCAGAGTGCAGTTCCAACTTGCATCTAACATGCTGCCCCTCCCCTCAACAATAATGGGCCTAATCCAAACAAGCAAGGACTTCTGAAGAAGTTAATTAGCTGGATCAAGTACGGCAGACTGGTTGGAACTAGATTTCACAGGAATGTAGATCTCTAGGACCAGGGCTGGTCTTTGGCCTTCATTCCAATATCATTTCTATCTGTTTTCCTCTTCTTAAAATCATTTTGTCTTGCCTTCATAGTTTTTTAAATTGTATGTGATACAGTGTTTGTCTTTGTGATCTTTTTTAAATGGGCATGTAAACATCCAGTACTGTATGTAGCTGTTAAAGAGGCTAACTCCAACTTATACAACAACAGTACACTATGACCAATCTGTGCAATGAAAAGAGTTAGGACCCCTCCTTCAGTCCTATGAGGCTCCATCTGTTTTCTGGTCATAGCTAGGGCCAAGTTTTAGCAATGATGAGTTTAGGGGTGACATCGAGACCACTGTGGAAGTAACAAAGATTAGATATTACACAGTAACTGATCTTGTGACACAATAAATGTGAAGCTCTTGGAACATTCTTAGGGCTTATTTCATATGTTCAGTGAGCTCCTTTCCTGCTTTTGTATGGAGGTGACAGCTTCTACATTTTCCAAATAGGTAGAAAACATCAATGGTAAGAAACTCATCAGGTAGCCTGAACTGTTTCTTGCCAGCAGTACTGGTCATGTGGGTCATCTAAGAAGCAAATCAAGCTTTAAAAGATTATTTTTTTAATATCCAGTAGAACTGTCATGAAATTTAGTTGTTTCTTAAAGGTCTGAATTCTTCAGCAGTTGAGAGTTCTTTGTCACAAGATCTTGTTTTCCAGCAATTTCTCTATAATGAAAAGTGGCTGAGAACATTTTTTCACATTCTTCAGAACCTGAAAAGTCTCACTCTTTAGTCTTCATAACAGTTAAAATAAAAATACCGATTAAAAAAAACTCGGATGACTTATTAAAACAGTGTCATAGAATGTAGATTTAACCAAACAAAAACCAAGCAGAATGAATGATAGCTGTTTTACAAGCCCCGCTTCATGTCACACTGCCATCCCCTTTTAGATCTATATAGTTTATAGCAAGGTTAGACTGTAATAAGAACACATTTCAAACAGACTGACAAAAAACACAAACAATGCTGTTCCCTTTAATTGAGGATTTCTTTCAATATTTCAGCTCTTTAAACGTAACAATACTGAAATGCTTGGAATCGACACAAAAAGCACACAAATTAAACAAATATGTACCGCACAATGCAGTATGCTGCTTGTTTTAGCTTGGACTTGGTCTACCACCAGAGACCAGGAAAGGTCTCTAGCTTTGTCTCAATTCAAGTATAACATGTTTAACAAAATGAAACAATTCCCAAATTAAGAGTTTTATCTTCGCAAATTAAGACAGTTGACATATATATTGCACCAGAGGACTGAATGTACCACTGTTATTACTTGGCAATAATGGTCATGGTACCAAATCCAATACTTTTTCCTTAAACAAAATGCAACCACTACAAAAAAGCATTAATGAATATAACCTCAAGGTAACATTAAGCTGTAACAGACATAAAAATGTAGCAGCAAAAGGGGTTCTTAAAGCTGCACTCTGCACGTACCCATTCATCAAAACCGTTGTGGCTTCCACCACTTTTTAAAGGAAAAAGTTTAAAAACTTTTCATTTAGCTCCTGAGTATCTGAGGTACAAAGTGCATTGTCAATCTTAGCTAAAAATAATAAAAACCGTGGAGTGGTAGTGTTTAGGCTTTGGCCCTTTTCGGTGGTAGCGTGGTAAAGTAATGCACAATTCTTCCTGAAGGCTTGTAGCGGTCATAGTTGTCTAACTGCCTCACTGTCTCTTGTTTTTCATCTTCTTCTGCCACTCACATTTTCCCTTGTTGTCTCACACTTCATTTCATGCAGCAGCCCTATCTGCTCTCCCTGTAAGAATTGATAATACTCTATTAGTCACAGAAATGTCTTCTTTCAATATTTAATGTATTCCATTACATTTCTGGACCAAGCTCATTTCATTTCTGTTTGTGAGCTCAAAACCTACAGGCAGAATTGTGTATCAATGTTGTAAGGGGTGTTTCTTAGCACTATAACAATAACCATCAGTCATCCTTTGAAGATGAGCAGTAAAAATTAACTAACATCTCATCTCTCTATACACAAATACACTGATCAATTACTGTAATTTCCCTAGCAATGCGAAAATAAACAACACTGTCATCTCCCTATACCCTCTGCATCTTTCAGTCATAATTATTGTGCTAAGCATTCAGTCCCTTTGGCCCTTTCTAGTGTGTAGTGCATGCTGGCTGTATGGTCAGATCATGTAGTTCTTCTTAAGAACCTCCAAGTACTGCTGGGTGGCTCTGCTCAATGGGTCCTGCTGCTCCAGGTTCAGATTTAAATTCAGATTCTTCTGAGAACCACAGGCAGAACCCACTGGAGACATCCGGGCCGAGTCGCCCTCCATCTCAGCTGTGGCTAAGAGAAAGACAAAGATTACAACGGGAAAATGAGGCATCTGATAATAATCAATTGTCCAGTCAATTATGTTTTGTATTAAGATACACTGTACATGAGCAGCAGCACTCACCATAGTCCAACTCCTTTGATATGTTTTTCTCTAGTTCAGACTGCATCTACATGGCGGGGGGCAAATCAGACAAAATGCATCAGCACTGCATGTACTTTATTTATCAGAACTTCTTTTCTTTTCAGACTTCATAATAAAGAGAAAAGCTTAGGCTGACATTTTGGTTGCTTTAATAAGGTTTTTGTAATAAGTGTGTGTGTAGTTACATTTCAAATCAGTGCTGCATTGTGATAAAATGTTGACCTGAATGAATGGTCCAAGTTACAGCTACAGGATAACCGTGTTCAGCTTTTGATAGGTTTTTACTTTCTGAGTTTTGACATTGTAGTTTTGCTTTGACATTCAAATTAATACAAACAGCACTGATCTTCATACAGAGCATGAAAGATTCATAGTTTATGATGTTATCCTTTTAAAATGTGGCACTGTTTTGTCTGTTGCAACTCATCAGATGCTAGAAAAATAAATATTGACACAATTTATTGTAAAAACATCTATCTTCAAGCACATTATTATGGAATGAGAGGATTTAAATTCTAAAAACATGTAAATGTTACATATAACAATCAATATATTTTGTGTAAGAATGTCATAAATGAAATAAATGGAGAAAAAAAACATTTAAGTTTACTAATCCCAGAGTTACTAATCCTTATCCTTGCAATAATATCAAACATAAACCTGACCTGGCAAAGCAGTTCTTAACATGACTATATATAACCCTGCATTATGATTCGCTTTGTTTAACATCTCGCCTCAATTAAAAGCTTATTTGAGACTGTGCAATAACATGCCCTTTGGAGCAGGTAATTCAAAGGGTTATGCGGTGAGAAAGTACTGTACGCCAGTGAGCTACACACAGCTACACACCTGCTTATGAATCAGGCTGAAGAGAGGAGAGGTGAGAGACAGACTTTTGAGCTAGGAGCTGAAGGAGAGCAAGAAACAGAAGAGGTTATATGTGCACAGTCCCTCTACAGGAAACTCAAGAAACAAGGATATGACAGAAACAGAGGGATGAAAGTGTTAGCTGCAGATGTTGAAAGGAAAGGGAGGATTCCTTGCTGTAGAATGGAGACTAGATATATAACTGACTAGCCAAGAAACTGCTAATTTCTGCAAATTTGCTGTTTGTACTGACAAACTATAGTGACACCTGCTCAACAATGACTCAAGCCTACTACAGCTCACCTTTGCCAGGTAGGCCTCTACACGATTGCTCTGTGGTTCCCCCACAGACCCCAGCAGAGGGGATCCCAGACCCAGGCTTCTGTTGAGGGGTCCCAGCGAGGCTCCATATGCCCCCACAGAGCCTAAAGAGGCTGTGTCCAGTGCTGGTCCTGCCAGACTGCCGTTCATTAGGCTGCTAGTGAGCAGAGACTTGCTACGCTGCCGCTCACTTAGTAGCTTAGTGTTGGCCTCTGCTAGCCGCTCATTAGACCTGAAAAAGAGAACTTAAAATCAATAAACTCAAATAAACTACAATATGGTGTGCGAGCACTGCTACGAGTTACCCTGTAAAGCTTGAAATAATAATTTAAAAGTCAAAGGCGTTGGGTCGGATTTTGGGGGAGTTTTTCAGACCTCGCCACACATCTTTATGTATGAAAATCAGGCTCAAAAAGAAGGTCCAGCTTGATGTTTAGGTCTCAAATGCAAAATCAACATTATACTGATGAAGATACGCAGAGAATAGTAGGTAATTCACTTACACCCTCAGAAGAAATGTCGTTCAGACTGAGTTTTCTTTGAATACTCTTTCAAAGCACCGGCAATGATCAGATTAATCCGCTCGAGTAAGAAGCACAATCGACGACAAAATGTTCTGCAAGTTGCATGCAGTAACACATCTCCACCAGAGAGGTACATAGTACAGCTTTAACCACATGCATTTACATTTGGTACTCCAATGTGTCTCTGCTTAATCAAACTGAAATCTGATTGCTATGTGGTGTGTATTCCAGTGTTTCTCAAACCTGGTCCTGGAAGCCCACTGACTGACACATTTTAGTGCTTTCCCTGCTTTAACTTATCTACTCAACTCAGTAAGGGGTTGTTAATCAGCTGATTAGTTGTATCTGGGCCCATATTCACAAAGCTTCTTAAAGTAGGATTACTGTCTTAGGATCAGATTCATGTCTTATTTACGGATTTCCAGAGCATTTGATGTCTACTTCAAATTAAGTTGCCCACAGCTACTGGGATATTATCAATTGCTGTTTGACTGACTATCTGCACATATGTGGGTAGGCACCTCAGTGCACCGGTTTCAATCTGTCAGTGCTGCAAACACTCACTGAGCGTGTATGCCATGATGAGTCGTCTGGGGCAATATATTGTAGCTGGATGGAAAACCGTGTGTGAATTCACATTGTCATATCCTTTTCTTAATCTAAGATTTTTCTTAAAGCATTCAGAAGCTAATAAGTGAGACTCACATGTTTGCCGGTGTATACCACTTTGCCTGCCCACACCCATCATGCTGAAACAATGGACTATGGTTGGTTATCTTGCCTGTCCAAGTAGGTGATTCTTGACCATGTTAAGCAATAAAGTGCATTTACACCTGCATTTTCATGTGGATCAACCCTATCCAGATGTAACCATAATACTCAACACCAGGGGTGTCCAATTCAAATATGCTGCAGCACATCTGATACCACTTGTTTAATAGTCTACTGGTCTTCAGACAATTAATGAGGTGTGCCCCTGATTTGTTGCAAAGAAAACCTGCAGCCTCACCATCCCCTTGCCAATAAGACTGGATGACCGTGTTCTAATGAATCAATCAGGTGTAAACAGGCTCTCTAGCTTCCTCTGCCGGTATGAAATATATAATTCAGTTGAGTTGTTTCATGTCTGTTAGAGCAAGTTCTCAAAAACGCTGCATAAGCAGGAGGAAAAAAAGTGTGTGTCAGACCGGTGGTACTGTGGTGAAACAGAGGACTTATTTCCAACATTAATTTCATTATCTCAGACATTTCCTTGTGAGCCTTACCTCTCTAGCTTAGCAGCCAGGCTCTTGCGGAGTCTCAGCTCCTCGGTGTACAGCTGTCTGTAGCGCTCAAGCTCAGTGCGGCTGGAGTCTCTCTGCACCAGGCTGTCCTGCTGGTTACTGCGCACACGGCTCAGTTCTCCCTCCAGCTCCTTAATGCGTTGCTCCAGTTGAGCTCTCTGACTGGCCTCGTTAGCAGCCTTTATCTGCTCCAGAGCCTCCTGAGACGCGGCCTGCGTCTGGGAACAAACAACAGGCCGCAATTAGTGCTTTTATGGCTTAATTTTCGTTACTAAGATACTGTATATACTGTATGCTAGGGTTGTCCCAATCTCACTGTAAAGATTTGTATCAAAACTAATCAAGGAACACTTTGCGGTATCAATATTCTGCTGCCTGACCTGAGCCCGAGAGGGCCTGACAAAACAATGGGTTTTAGGCTGGATTTTGGCCGATTATTCACATCCAACACCAGGCTTGGGTCAGGCTCGGAATTTGTTTTTCTATGGGTGATCGTTTAAGTAAAAGAGTTTTTAGTTGAAAGTTGTGCCTACATATATTTAAATCTCTCTCTGCCTCTCTCTCATATTGTTATAGACTATAACTACGTTTGAAACAGTTCCAGTGAACGTCCCCCTGAATAATGGGGTTGGTAGAAACGTCACAGCAGATCTTGCCTGAAGCATTTCTGCGAGTAACAGCAGTAGTGAGAAGAACTTTTAACAGTTGATCAGAGGAGGGTGAATACTGTTCTCTGACACGTACAATTAGCAATTCCACAGAAATATACTAATGATAAATAATGTTAGGGTTTTACAGATGCGTAATATACCAGATTATTGTTTCTTTTCTAACAGCTTTTCTACCCCTCTGCGCTCTATTTACACCACTACTAAAGACATCATCTTCAACTGGCAGCAGTGAAGCACATTGTCAGAAGGTAAGAAATGGTCTAAATGTCTTAAGTGTGGAGTAAATTATTAAAGTGGAAAATAAAAACTTTTAGTATCTGAAACGCTTGTATTTTGACTGCAGTTAAGCCATCTACATTTTATCAGGACATGGCTAAACTAGCCATAGCTAGAAAAACTAGATTGAGATATTCCTACTGTATGTGTGTGTTCACTAGTGTGCATGTATGTGGGTGTTTCACTGCACGGATGGGTTAAATGTGGAGGTCTAATTCCTGTCTGTGTGCGAACCCAGTAGGCTAATGGTTCTGAATATGTAAAAGAGAATGACAAGAAATCGTACTATGGAAACCATAATACAAACTAAATGAACACGGCACATGCATCCATGAATGAATCTGAAAAGAAAAATAATTCTTAAGATTTAAACATTTTCCAAAACACATCTGTCCCTTCTCCTAATAAACTATTATAAAAGGCTCCCTCTACCTGCAGAAAGAGGTTGACCTCCTCCAATTTGTGGCGTATCTCCTGTCTGGCTCTCTCTTCTGTTTCTCTACGGTATTGCTCAGCCTGGCTCTGGTCCATGAGCCCGGCCTCTACTTGTCTGCGCAGGCCCGTCACCTCCTCTTCCAGCTGCCGCTTGCTGCGCTCTAAACGCTCATGGCTGCGGCTCAGGCTCTTCAGCGAGCCGAGCTGCTCCTTGAGCTGCCTGTTCACCTCCTCCAGCCTGGAGCAGCGTGACGCCTCCCTCTCCAACTGCACCTGCAGTTCATCCACCTGTGTGGTGGAGGAAAGGTGAGAGAGAGGTGGGAGAATTAAGAAGAGTAGAAGGAGAGACAGTGATGTAAGAGTGTGGTAGACAGAGATAATCAGGACAGAAACAGGAAAGAAGACAGAATGGAAAAGGAGAAATTGTGGATCAGCCTAAGGTGTCAAAATGATGCAAGAAGAAACTAGTAGAACAACATCTTAACAACTATTAAACTTCCTCATACATGTGCATGTGTAGAAGTCCTAACAATTATAACATCTTTGAAGATAAGTAGAGCTGTGTAGGTGGAAACATACTTTTGTCTTCATCCTGCTGATGGCTCCCTCTGCCTCACTATGTCTATGGCCCAGTTCTCCTCTCAGACTGCCCAGAGGAGAACCCAGCTCTCCTCCATCCTGCTCCCGCAGCTTCTTCTTAGCTGTCTTCACCAGAGTTCGCAACCTAACACACACACAGTAACATTCACTCATCTAACGTACAGAAGTACACTTATGATCATACAGTTTCTGTGCATAAGAATGGAAAAAACATGAGTTAGAGGAACCAGTTTTAAAATGATTGTTCAATACTTTTACAAAACGCTAAATAACAATCTGGTCAGATATCAATATATTAATTCTTACTTGTCTATGTTTATCATGTGCAATAAACATGTTCCAGCAGCTTGATCAAATCAGGGTCTTGGTGTCATACAAATCACTCAGCACAGTGTAACAATAACCACCTACTGCACACTACCGACCACCATGCAGACAGGGGTACGTACTCAAACACGTCTACAGCTGGGTCTCTCAGCACTGCAGGGTTGGGCAGAAGAGATTAAAGTGTCACCTGTACATTTCTTTCTGTAGCTCAGTGTTTCTCTTCATCTCCTGGTCCAGCCGGGCATCCACAGCCTTCTTCTGCTCTGCTATCTTCTTGACCTTCTTCTTCTCAAGCTCCATCTGGTGCATGCAGAGAATAATGTGGTAAGAAGATTTTTAGACGCTTTTTAATCTGTACACTTCAAAAAATTCATATACTGAAATAATTTAAAGTCTAGTCGATATATCTTATAGTTCTAATTTAAAATTGTTGTAATAGTATAAAAGTATTTGTAGACATGTTTTACCTTTTTAAGTCATTTTTTTAAAAAATATATCTTTTGCAACTGGAAGGTAGATTTGCTAGCATTATTTCTTAAAATGAGCAAATGATCTGCATTATGTCTTGAAAAAAAAGCAAAATCATCTGTCAAAAGAATAAGAAAAAAAATCTCTGGAAAAAATTACTAGAAATGTCTAGAAAAAAACTTAAATAATCATTTATTCTTACAACAATCTCATAATGAGAAATACTAGATTTAATGAATACATTTTCAGATGTATTTGCTTGCCAAAATACATCCTTTTTGCAATGTATATTATATACCAAAAACTGGAAAAATAGAACATTACACGCTTCTATAAATGTGTGATAATGTAATTTACATTTGAATCAGTTGAATTATTTGTTTTTTTGTTTAGAGGTGTAATGATTGTGTTTACAGGGATACTCCATTGTACAGTTTAGCCTTTCTAAACCTTTGTGTAAACAATTCATGCAGTGCATTTGCATTTAAGCATGACATGAAAAAATGAACAAAGGTGTGGCTAGTTTCAATATCACCTGGTTGCTGAGCTCTCCTTTCTCCTTCTCCAGTTCAGCAAGTCGCAGTCCAATCCGTGACCGGCTCTTTAGCTCCTCCTCCCACAGAGCCTGTGAGTCCTGGGCATTGTGGGATAGCATGCTTTGCTTCTGCATCTATGAAGAAGACTAGTATCAGTCAAATTTAAAATGTTACTCATACCATTTAAAACAACATTTAAACATTTTAAAACAACATCTAGCACAAACCCTAGGAACAGGTCCATTATGCTTTTTCATTTGAATGTAGAAAGGGTATGACAATCCTGTACTGTCCCAATAAGGATTCTCCAACAGAAACCATGTTAAAATTCTTAATTCATTACTATAGTGAGCTGTTCTTTTCTGTTAAACTCATCTCCAGCATTTTGTCTGTTTTTTTTTCTTTTTAATTTGGGCACATACACATCTTTTTGTGAAGCACCCAGGCTATTTTAGAACAAAAAAAATTTGATGAGGTCTGGTGATTATAATAATATGATTTCTACATGATTCCTATTCAACCACTCTTACATGCTAAATTTAAGGAACTTCTCTCTTGCCCATTCTGATTCTGAGACTTACAGTGCTGTATTATCTTGTCACAATTGAATTTTCATTTCCATACTTCACTAATCCTGTGGATTGTACAAGTCTATCCAAATGCCACAAGAAGGCAGGTATAGGAGCCTATAGTATATAGTAAGCTATACTTACTTGAGAAGGCACAATGTTAACATACTTATCATCAAGGCTATTACCCAAGACCCAAGTCAATCGAAGACTTTTAAAATCGAGGCAGAGGGAGAAAAGTTCTACCTCACGACTGAGCTGATCCTCCAGAGTCATCTTGCTGCTTTGCAGATTCGTGACCAAATCCTCTAACCGATGCCGCACCTGTAAAGATTTCAAAACAAAGGCAGTCATGCAGAAGCATGTAAGGGTCACTCCGCACACTCCACGAGAAAAACAAAGACAAGTACTTTGAAATCTCTAGACTGATAACATGCTTCATGCAGATCTAAAGGCATTTTCATGGCAAATCAAGACTAAAGTGCTGGTGAGATCCGAGAAACCATTGCTAAAGCGGGAGTAGAGAGTTCATTTGACAGCAAGCTGAATCAAATGAAACAAGTTGAATTTGCTTAGAAATACCACCACCAATAGCAGAAACGATCCATATACAACCCAACTGTATAGTCAAACGATGTCAATGAAACACATTGTCCTGAAAGGGTTTAATATTTTGTGGAAACTATTTGAAAATCACTGTCTTACAAATAGGGCTGGGCGATATAGCTTACAGGTATATCACAAAAACACCTTGTACAGTGTTGTACAGTCACAAAATGTATATATAATATTGCTGCTGGATTAAGAAAATAGGGACTCATCCACATACACAGCACAGTCTGTGATTAGTAACAGTTTCTGCTGTTTTAGCTCTGTACTCAAAGGATTCAAAATGGGTTAAAATGAAATTAAGTGATTAAAATGTACAGAAAGTTTGCTTTAATTCAATTGTTATGATTACTAAATAGTTCTTCCAATATAGATAAATGCACTTGAATTAAAGCTGAAATTCTACACTCATAAATACCATTTCATTTCAAACCCTATGAGCTGGAGTACAGAGCCAAAACAATAAAAAATTACTGACTTTTATTGCCCAGCCCTATGTACAATGATAGATACAGTTTTCTAATCATATATATTATTTTGGGTTGAATCTGGACAATCCTGAATACAATAATGCAATCAATAACAGATATCACACCCAGTAAATCTCTTGATCAACAAGGAATCAGTGAAAGGGGCTGCTAGCATCACAGCTACATGAAAGATACCAACCCCTCCTCTCGGTGATGAGTCTGATGGCTGTGAAAAGAATACTTATACCATCAGTTTACGGCAGCCGTAAACAGTCATTAATAAACATCCAAATTCCTTAATTTTAAAATATCACAATGTTAGTGGAAGTCTTCAGAAAGTTTTCCAGTATGATCACTTCACTATGATCCACCCCAATAAGCTGATTTTCGGGTTTGTACAACAGTACTTTTATGGGTTTAAATACAGAGTCATTGCTACTCTGACTTACAAGGACACAACGGGGTACTGAGAGGCTTAACCAAAGAGCTCTACATCAGCTACAGAATCTCTTAAAACTCTTAATTAGCTACTGTGAGTACAGGACAATTCAACATTAATGGCGGAAAGTTACTATGAGCCTTAGCACCGCTTATAATCAGTGATCTTAACAGTTTAGTTATGGGTCAGTTGCTACTCACCACATTAGCTTCCTGGGCTTCTTTCTGAAGCACTTCAATGCGGTTGGTCTGCTGTTTGGCGGCTGCCTCCAGTCTGGCGTTGTCAATCTCCAACCTGTGGTGAGGTCATAATCACATTAAGCTCTTTCTCCAGGTACTTTAGCCACTGTAACCCTTTAGATCACACTCAGCCATCAAAAATAACCAACAATTTGAAGAATTTAGAAACCTTGAGACTTAGATTACACACTAATGTAGTAACAAGCATAAACACACAAATCCTGCATTTGCAGAATTTGTACTGCTGTACCTCTGCACTGCCTCCTCCAGCTGTTTAACAGTTTGGTCTGTGCATGCTGAAGCAGCTAGCACCTCCTGCAATTTCTGGCCAGTGCTGATGACCTCTCGTTCCTTCTCATCCAGACTGCCCTTTAAACCGTTAATGCGCCTCTCCGCCTGCATGTACTGCTCCTCAGTCTCCTGCAGCTGGAATTTAAACAAAGAGAAGCATCACAACACTGGTTTGTTCAACTCTGTGCTATCAGTGCCTCAACTAGAAAGCCGCTGGGTGAATTTATGTGTATGTTTGGGATCATTATCCTGTTGGATGGTTGGACTTTGTGATGGTTTGGGATGGTTTCACATTCTCCTCAAGCACTCTCTGGTATGAAAGAGAATTCATATTCCATTCTGTGACTACAAGTTGGCCAGACCTGTCCATAGCACATTGTTTCAGAGGTTCATTAGCAAACTTTAGTCTTGATGAGATCCTTTTAGACAGCAAATGCTTCTTCCTGATACATTTCTCATGTAGGTCAAATTTTTGCAGTTTCTTTTAATAGTGGATGCATTCACTTCGACATCCACAGTGGCAAGAGCTACCTGCAGATCCTGTAATAAAATTTTTGGGTTCTTAAAGACTTCTTTTAGCACCTTAAGGTCTACTCTTGGGTAAATGTGCTAGAGTAGCCTGGCCTGGACATGTTTACAGTGGCTTTAAACCTTCTCTGCTTGAAGATGATATCTGATCTAGGTATGATGATACCACACACTCCAATAATAAAGCGCAAACCAGACTAAATATCTTTTAATTTGGGTTTATATAGGACAGCTTCCTCCAAGATATTCTCTAATGCTGTTGTAATCATTTGTATGTGATCAGATGCACCTGACCCATCTGAAGAAGTGATATATATGTAGTGGTGTACTTTTTCCACATAATCAAATTGCATTTCTGTCATATATTCATACGTTTGAATTATTTATATATTTCAATATATGCTTTTTTGTTAACCCAAAAATGCATGGGTTATAACTAAACGGGCTTCGAGCACAGCAAAAACAACAGCCTGCCTTAAAAGTTCATTAAGACATGACCTAAGAGTCTGACTTCAATTGACAAAATTGTTAATTTTAGGTGTTAAATTATATAACCTGTCAACGTTGTTTGAAGACCAAATATCTGTATGTCTAAATATGCTGAATAAGTTTTCACGAGGTGCACTTACTTCTTCACCTGACTGTAAGAGACTTACATACTAGCCAACCTAAAAACACAAAATTTTAGTTTATGCAATGACCAACATCATCACCTGGAATGTCTCATAAATGAGAATGTTTTGGAAGATGTGTATGGGTACCTTTCCCCTGAGCCTGTCCAAGTCCTTCTGAGTGCGCGTTTTCTCTTCTTCCAGGTCACTGCGGTAGCGAGTGTTCACTTCCAAAGATGCCTCACACATGGACAACTTCTTTAGAGAATCTGCCAGCTCCTGCTGCAGCTGCCTCAAAGAGCTCTGCCATGGACATAAAAGCACTTTACTACATTTTCCACTCACATTCACCAGTTTAGAGTTATTAATGAACATGTAAATTATTAAGACGTCCGCAAATAATCATCAAATATAACATTCAGCTAGCAAGAAAATAAAGTATTCGTCAGGTTCTAATTTATCTTTATACCTGGTTCCACTTTATTTGTGTAGTCCTCTACAGATGATCTACCAATGGTCTAATCATTATCAAACTATCTGGTGAAACTGTTTATTTTCAACAATGTTGTGGTTTGTGTTAGAACTAGACAGATTAAGAATTATGTTCTGAGTTGAAGTTTAGGGTTAGAAGTTTGGGGTTAGAGCGCGTGTTAGGTTTAGGGTTGAGGAAAGGTCAAGGGGATATTAAATGATATTTAATTAAATGTAAGTATGCATCTGGAAGGAATCTACAGTGGACCATTTAAATAAAATGCTACCTTTAAATGTATTAAAAAGTTACTTTAAGCAGCCTAACACACCTCTCTCTCGCCTTTCTCCTGCTCCAGTTTGTAGTTCTGCTCTCTGAGCTCAGTATTTTTGGCTACCAGCTCTTTGTTCCTCTCCTCTACCAGTTGCACTCTCTCCTCGCCATCAGCCCGCAGCTGGTTCAGCACGTCAGCGAAGCGCTCCTGTGCGTCCGTGGCTGCCCGCTCCTTGGCTGTGCCTTTGTTGTGGGCCTCCTCGAGCTGTTGCCTGAGCAGTGCTGTCTCGCTCTGTGCCTGGGCCAGCCTCTCTTGCACAGCCTCATGCCTGGCGGTGGTCCGGCTGGCCTGTTCTCGCTCGCTCTGCAGCGCTGCTTCCCGCTCCTTCACACGCGCCTGGGCCTGCTCCCGCTCCCGCACCGCCGTCTCCAGCAGCACGCTCTTCTCAGCCACACTCAGCGATGTGCGATGGCATTCGTTCTCCAGACTGTTGGCACGGGCCTCTGCTTTGCTCAGTTTCTGGGATAGGGACTGAATAGTGTCACGCTGTGAACTGGACTCCACAGAACGCTTGTCGTGAGCTCGCTGGTGTTCATCCCGCTCACGCTGCAGAGAGCGTTCCGCATCTGCACGCGCCGCCTGAGGAAGAGAGGGACAAGGAGCGCTTACATGCAGCAGTGTCATTGTTCTTTATGGGTACTACATCTGGCCACTACATCAACAGATAAGCTCATGCTGTATAGTCTCATATTGACAAACATAGACTGCCTGTCAAACGCTAGGCACACACACACATTATCTAAACCACTTATCCTTCTGGGTCACGGGGGATGTGGTGTTACTGGAGCCTATCCCAGTTGTCATTGGGCGGAAGGCACGATACACCCTGGACAGGTCGCTGGGGGACACCTTACCTTTTTTTAATACCAGCAAGGTTTTTTTGATTTAACAAACATCTAATTATTACTTAAAATATAATGGGTATATTGTGCAACACTCAACTTTACTTTCATGAAGGTTCTTACATTGTATGAAAAGTAGGTTTTGCCTAAATAATAATTTAGACATTTTTCCTTCCCAAACTGTTGCTAAAATCACATATTAAAAATTTAATGGCTCACAGGTGGTTTTATTAGTTGAAAGGTCTGAGTACTGATGAATGCTGACATCTCAACAAGTGAATAAAATGTTTTTGAAAAGTAAAAAAGGCAAGATCTAAATAGCCTTTCTATTTATGTCCAAAAATCACAAAGAAATTAGACTAAATGAAATAGCACCAGCCTACAATGTGACACCAAGACAGAATCTGGAAAAAATGGAAGCACACATACTGACCTGACACCTTTCGGTCTCCTGCAGTGCTGCCTGTAGCCGTGCTCTGCTAGCCTCTGCCTCAGCCTCCAGCTGCTGACGTGCCTGCCTCTCGTGCTCCAGCTTGGCGCTAACCACCGAGCATTCTGCTTTCAGCGCGCTCAGCTGCCCATTGTACTGGAAGACAGTTTGGGCCAGAGCCTCCTCACTCAGCTTCAGGTCACGCCGAGCATCCTCCAGCCTCTCCCGCAGAGCGTCCCTCTCCTCGGCCAGTCTGCTCTCCTCCTGCTGGCTGTGGGACTGTACACGCTCCAGCTCGGCCCGCACACAGCTCAACTCTTCCTGCAGAGCGCTGATCTGCTGGTGCAGTTCCCTCTCACGATCGCTGGACTCCGTCAGTTGGGACATGACCTGGACAACAACGCAGGTAAGCAATTTAACATGTCCAACCTACACCATACTACCTGTACAATGTACAATTTAGGCCTACTAGTTAACACAAAAACACAAAAATGCATGGAGTCATAACTAAAATGGCTTAGGGCACAGCAAAAACAGTGGCATGCCTTAAAAGTTCATTAAGTCGTGGCCTAAGACCTGTTCGCAACACCTTCAGGATGGGCAAGGGAGACTAAAGCATTCAGATTCTAAAATCATGAAAGAGATTTCAGTGCGTTGGTCTTGTAACAGTCCTTTTCCCCAGTCATTTGAATCCATACTACAGTCTTCAATTTGTTTTGTCTTTTCATTAAAAATAGAAAAAAAGACCTAAATGTAGATTCCTGAAGTGACTAAGGTCAGATGTGCGAGGTTTTAATATTACCTCATTGCTCTTGTTGAGGTTCTTGAGGTTCTCTTCCTCAATGTCCTGCTGCTTGCGCAGGTGGCTGTTCAGCAACTCCTCCTGTAAAGCCCGGGCACTTCGCTCATGGGCCAAAAGACGCTGGGTTTCATTCCTGTCCTCCTCCAGCTATGCAGCATTTAACATATACTTATTACACAAAACTTATCATTTCAGAAATTGTATAGTAAACGTGGCTTTTCAACATTAGTGGTGCTACTTGCACTTGGATTAACTTCCTCAAATAACAATACATTTTTAAGTCTACAAAGAATAGAGAGTTCTAAATAGCAAGACAGACAATAAGATATTCGGCTAATACAAAAACTATGACATACTAGACTAAACTGGGCCACATCAGACTGGGGTTACAGAAGCTCTTGAGTTCACATTTATTTACATCACTGCCCAATTTTTGCTTTTCCCAGATAAGTACCTGCTTCATGGTGTTCATCAGAGCCCTCATCTCCAGCTCCAAGTTGCGCATGTTAAGCTCCACTTTCTGCCTCTCCTCTGCCTCAGCCCGGTGCTCCTCCTCTTTCCTCCTCAACTGCTCACGGGTTTTATCGTACAGCATGGATGCACTCTGGTGTTTCTCCTGTTCCTGCTTCAATAGAAATCTACAGTGGGAAGAGGGAGAGAAGACTACTTTAATGATAATACTTGGCGGTAGCAGACATAACCATTAATATAATGATATTAATTATATTTTTCTTTTCAAATTTTGATTAGTATTTAAAACGATAAACTAAAAATAATATTAATTATAATACTAATTGCTGGACAAACAGCTTTTCAGTTTGGAAAAAGAGTAAATTCCAGAAATATAAGTAATTAGAGGTCAGACTGTGGCTAACTTGAGGTTGTTGAGGTCTGTCTCCAGCTCTAAGCGGAGGTGCTCCAGGCTGGATCTGCTCTCTCTGATCTCCTCCAGCAGAAGCCTAAGGTCAGTCCGCTCTTGCTCCAACTGAGAGATCTTGTCAACTAGCCGGCTGTGCCTGTCGCGCTCCTTGTGGATAGTGTGCTCGTAATCACGGAATATGTTCTGCAGCTTCACCATGCTCACTGAATCTGCAGGGAGAGGTAACATAACAGGTTGAAGTCTAGACGCCATCTTGCACAAGACAAAGTGGTTCTTCTACAATTTCACTGTGTTTTAATGTAGTTTTAATGTAGTTGCTGTAAAACTGATCAGAGCTGGTTCAAATTAGCAGCTGGTCTTGGTGTGAACACAAGGCCTGCTTGTACAAAAAAAGAGTACCTTGTTAAAAAAGTGCATTTAGAAACTCTTGGCTGAAAGGCTTTCTTCTGGTGGTAGTTGAAAAAGTCTTACCTATAGAGCTGACGTCCAGCTGGCTGATGAGCAGAGTGGCATGACGGTAGCCTGATGCAGTGGAGTCCAGCTCCTCAGTGGCTGTGTCTGAAGATTGTGTAAGGTCTTCAAAATCATCTGCCATTTCCAACTCTCCGCCACTCTACACAGCACACAGATGAAAGTGTCACAAAATGTAGCATTTCAATAAAGTATTTAGTTTACCTGAAAGGGCCCATTTGTGGGCATGCAATTCAGTTCCTTATTCTCATAACAACATACTAGTTTCAGAGTAGATTTACCAAATATTTTAAAGAAGTTACTGAACATAAAGTCGTAAAATTAATGACTAAGCAATACATTTAGGTGGGTGTGGGCAATATGGCAAAAATGTAACATATACGTAATAAAAAAGACTTAAGATTTTTATTCAACATTTCATACAAGGTAACACACTTAATAATAAAGGATTAATTATGCTGTCTTTGCAGTTGGTGGTACTGACGATTTCCACAATATGCTTAGAAAGACTGTGATGTAATTTTCACAATAATGATAAAATATCATCACATTGCCAGTGTATTTAATGGCCAGTGAGTGTATTTTGTTTTTCTGAGATTTGTGAAGTTGCAGCAATGTACCACATTTTAAATATGCTATCAAAAACAATATGTATTTTCTAAAAATTCATGTTTGTTTCACGTACTGTGCTTTGCGACCAGTTACATTGTTTTTTCAATACTGACGATTTCCCATGACATGCCTAGAAACGTTTAGCATGCACCAATTTATCAAGTTTAAGAGATTAAAATACCTTATAAACAGCACTGCAAGTATCACATTATTTTATACAATATCATGTCAAGAGCTTACCTTCTCAGTTTTATGCCTTGAGGATGGATACCTTTTCAGAAAAAAAAAAACCAAAACAGTGACAATTTTAGTCAGCTAGGCTTATATCCGCTCTTTGCGGGTAACACTGGACAGTAGGGAGACACTGTCTACCAACGTTTGATGGTACAATGCAGTATCTGTTCAATGCTTCTCTCTGCACCACACATTTATGTGGCTTCCAAAAGAGCTACAATTTAGTACTACACAGCAATTCAGTGTACAGTAAAGTCCAAGTCATGGAAATATGCATTAAGAGTGTGAAAACAGTGGCATACTGCATATGTACCTTCCTTCATCTTCTGACACCTCACTTAAAGAACTATCGTCAAACACAGACAGGGGGTCTCCATTATGGTGGTTCACAGGGATGGGAGGTCTAGCCTGCCGTGGAGCAGGGACATGTAGAAGGTTCCCCTGGCTACCAAAAGCCCTCTTCTGTTCATCTTCATCTTCCGTTGTCCTCCGGTTAGTGCTGGGGATCACAGACCTCATCATTTATCATGAGGATGTAATGCTTTTTCAACAGCTGGTCACCACCAGCCATCAATCAAGGACACACTAACAGTGTAACAGTAGGCTGGGTGTTTCTGATGAAGTGAAAGCATAATAGCAGGACATAACAAAGGACATAAGGTATGTGCGTGTCCTTAGGGCTGTAAAATACATCAGTCTGAAGATGGCTCCATCCATTTTAGAATGTCATAAATCAGTTAATATAACTGATTAAATATCATAGGGGTGCACGTTGATATTGGACTCACATCATCAGATAAATGCTTAAAAATAATTATCGCCATCGGACAGATGTTTACGTTCGACAAATATTTCACACTGACATTTGATGATTAGTTACTGTATGCTGGAAGAGCAGAATATTTAGGCGATTCAGGACTACTGTGTTAAGACGTCTGCATTTTATACAATAGTAACCCTATAGAAATGAATATATTTCTCTGTAATGCTAATACAGGTAGATGTAATGTTAATTTCTACTTTTTATAAATGTTTATGTATTGCCAACAGCAGTGACAGATTTTTAGGGCTATTTTTAAAAGTAAAAATTAAAATAAAACAAACAAAAAACTTGGTGTATTGCTTTTATTGTCTATGTGTATCACTACTGTGCAAATAGTTCCTCCAGTCACATTTGTGTTTTCAGTGTCTTCTTAAAAATAATTCTGACTTGTACCAAAATGTTATTGAATTGGATTTACATTGTCATGATGCACAAAATTATTTCCAAGAGAACTGTAATTAAATAAAATTCTCAAGTCAGAGATTTACACCCCTAACCGATTTTCAGAGAAAAACAACTTTCAACACTATTACCTTTTACTGAATTTGTGAATTCTTCTGTAAAAATCTTATTTGTGAGAAATTTTCACTTTCCTTAATTTTATAATATTTCAGTTAACTTATTCTCCAGATTGTGCAAGAGCACAAGTGACCAAAATTTCCTTCAGCCTGAATGTCAAATTTGGAACAGTAGCAGAGCTAAATACTGCTTAGGCTCTAATCCAAAAGTCTTAAATAACCTTGACACTTCAACCTCAATGGTATTAAACAGGACTAGGATAGTGGGTGTATCTCCATGAAACAGCTGACATAATGACTTCTCTTTTTTCATTCAAAATGTATTTTAGCTTAATAATTGTCAACTGAAATAAATAGGTTTTACAATGATTATTGTGCATGTAATTTGGCTTTTAAGAAATCAATCTAATACTCGGATTTACTTTTTTAAGAACCTGCTGAATTTGTTGCTAGTAATATTTGACTGGCTATGCTTAGGCATCACGTCATTTAGCAAAAATTATTGGATGGATGAAAGCAGAACTCTTGAGGTCGTTATTTTTAAAGAAGATTGTTAAAGCTGTCAACTCTACCTCTCAAAGAATCTTACCTCCTTGGACTTCTTGTCTGCCATCTTGGCGAAACACTATCCCTTTTCTCAAGCCCATCATCCTTCTGATGAGATCCACTGTCAGATTTCCCTTCCTGTTCAGGTTTTGGTTTGCCAGGGTTAGTGTCTGCTTTCTTTCCTTTTCCTTGGTCAGCGTCAGTTTGTTTCCTGGATCCACCAGAGTCCCATAAAGCAGCGGTTTTAGGCTTCTCTCTCATGTCATCAGTCTTTGCCACAGCACTCTAATAACAGGAAAAAATGCTGATTGTTGAGATCATTAAAACTTCAACATTTGTGCATACTAGGTATGTTACAGGCACATTTTTAAGGATTTAGTTGGACAAGATGACAAGACAGTTAATAGTTACCAGTTTATACCACAGCAGTCTTCTTTTTCAAATGTAAAAAGAAGCGCTAATAAGGAGACATACTTCAAACCCACAACAAACCAAGCAATACCAACAAGACTAAGTCCAAACACACAGACATGAAATAGCTACTACTTAGGAAAGATGAGAAGTGTTCGTCAGGCAGCTGAAGGAAATGATGAGTGACACACAACAGCTGAAGTGTGAGGAGAGGCCTGAAAGAGAGGCTAAGGTGTGCCATTTGATAACCTGACACCAGGACAGAAATCAAGCTGTTAATTTTTAATCACGTAACAGGCTGACCTCAAAATGAGGAACAAGACAAGTGCAGTTCAGGACCCACTAATCTATTAAAAAGGTAAGACAAGCCTTGGCTTGGACAATTAATCAGTTAATTCTGACCATTAGTATACTATTTTTACAAAGGACCACAACCTGGAACAATGCTTTTCATTTTGTGGCTTCTCTGTCACTTCATCATCTTCACTAGTTTAAATTTTTGTTGCATGTGCTGTAAGCATACAGACCAAGTGACTGACAGTCTACCTGAGTGTTCTGTGATATATTCAGACAGATGCAGCTATAATTCACACAAACTATGGAAAAATACAGTGGGGTCCAAAAGTCTAAGAGATCACACTGAAAATCAGTTTTTTTTTAATTTAAATTGAAAGTTGAAAATTAAGGTAAAGTGAAGAAACATTCACGATTCTACACTACTTCTAGGACACTATTCAAGCTGCAAGAGTGGCTTGGAAAAAAAGGTGAAAGTTGAAAATTTTACAACAAAGAAAAGTAATGAGTAAAATGAAGTAAAATGAAGAAATCTTCAAGATTCTGCACTATTTCTATGACGCTTTTCAAAACCGAGCAAATTTTGTTAAGGCCTTTCTACAAAAAGTCTTTCACTGAGCTCATGTTCAAACGACTGTCAGGTGGATTTGATCTACTCAACTGAGGCTTTCACACAAACCTGTGGAGTGCACACCAGCCTAAATGCATGCTGTCCATTTTATGAAAAAACATTTTTTTTTTTAAAACATACTACATAAACTTTGTTAAAGTCTCAAAACATACCCTTTCACTCCTCAGTCCATAGTCAGTGTGGGGAAACTAAGACACAAACGGCCCATTTTTAATTCACCGTTTCTATGATGTCATGAAACCAGTGCATTTCCATATATCTCCTTATACATTCTACAGCAGTTTAGCTCCGCCGACTCATGCTGAATTTATAAGTGTTTCAGCTTTTGTCAATTTAATTTTAAAGGATAAATACAGGTTGGAGCATTTTTTTGGTACATTAAACCATAAAAATGTGTCAAGTGGACCTCAGGGGACAGAGTTAAAAACATGAAAATTGTAGAATATGGGCCCTTAAAGCAAAAGGGGGCACAGCGCCGATACTAGGAAATTCTGAAATTCATGTAAATACTTCAAAAGATTCTACTTTTTACTCACATTGTTATGCTGATAACGTCATTTGTAATTAAAAATGTTGTGTTAAAATAGTGGTCTCAAACTTTTGTACCTTATGTGTTTTAATAGAGTGGGTCGTGACAATTATGATTAACTGCAATTGAAAACCTCACTGCTAATATCACAATGTCAATATCTTAACTACTATTTATACATTCTGTTGTAATACAAAGGAAGTAAGATACACAGGAAAAGAATGCAATAACGAAGTGACATTCACAGCATGTGAAATGCTAAGGAAAACAGATGACAGTCACATGATAAGGTAAGACTAAAAACAATGAAGTTAGCAGGTTCTTAAGCTGCAGTAGTGGTTTGGATGATGTCGAACATTGACATTAAAATGCAGAAAGGGAACAAAGACTTTCGCAAGCAGCTACATTATTAGTGAATGAATGAAACATGAGGAGAGAGAGACAAAATAATGGCACGACATCATTTCTACAAAGTTGCATTTTCCTTTGCCTAATCCAGGCATGCAGCTCTTCATTCCCTACCTCAGTCATGCATCTCTGTAGGGCCTCAAGCTCAGCCTCTTCATCTGAGTTGGGAGAGAGTGCTTCTGAATTTGAGGGAGGAACCTCTAGCTCTCCAACAAAAAGCAAATGGCTTCTATCAGCTTCTTCTGAAGATTCTTGACTTGTCTTGAATTCGGCTCCCTGACCACACACACCAGCTGAGCCAGAATTTCCTTTATTTTCATTTACATTAGAGGAAGGATCTACACTGTGGCCAGACCCATGGACAGAGTTTTGTGCTTCTTCGAAGGGCTTCGGGGTAGGTCGCTGGATATCTTGATCTTCGGTGAAGTCATCATGAGGAAGATCTGCCTCACTGCCTTCATCACTAGTCGTGTGGCTGGGTGCTCCGTTAGGTTCCTCAGAGCAGGACTCCTCCAGCCCAGACTCCCTCTGCTCTGGGATAGGTAACAGCTTTACAGTTCTGGCCCGGGCAGTGGGTCGCACTATTGGCTCTCCCTCATCTTCACTTGAGTCTTCTTCTGATGCACTCTCAGGGACGTCTGTGTCTCTCTTCAACTCTTTTTTTTCCTCTTCTTTCTCTTCTCCTTCTTTCACCTCTACGTCCTCGTCAGACTCATATGGTTTCTTCAGCTGTATTTCTCCAAATCTTTCTTTAAGCTCAGCAGCCACGTTTTTGTACTGGGATTTCGTCTCCTTTTTATCACTCTCCACCCAGATCTTCTCATAACGTTCCTCCCAGGTGGTCTTATTCAAATCTTCTTTCTCTATACCATCTCGCTCTTCCTTTTCAAGTTCAGATGGCTGATAATCAGAGGGGCCTAGTTGACACGGACTAATTACGTCTAACTCAGACGCATCTAATGTCTCTCTCTCCTTTGATTGCATGAGTGGACAAAAAATACAATTAACACTGAAAATCCAAACAACAGGAACCAAGCATTGTGTATTAATATGGGACCAAAGACAATTTCTACAGGAATATAGTCACGACGCATTTCACTAGACAAACCTACCAAGGAAGGTTTCAAAGCCACAAAAACTAATCATACCTTGGTAATAAAGAGCTGTGGCCACTTGCACAAAACATATTAATTACTTATCTTCAGTTAAATGCTTAAGGGATAAATTTGAAGCTGTAGAACTAAATTTAAAATTCTGTCAAAAACATAAATGCTGAAACTTAAACCGAGATTTTAAGCAGTTCACAAGGTAAAGGGAAAACATGAGGATAAAAACCTAAGATGTTTTATGCAAGCTGTCACTGGTTATCAAAAACGAGCACAACAACAACAAGCACAACACCAACAACAACAACAACATGACACCCCTATATAATAATATCAGACAATTTGATGTTAAATACGAGTATCTAGTGAGTTACTATTAGTGTTTGGAATCTGAGGCATGAACTGAAAGTATGTGCACAAGATGCTGATCTCTACCCACCTGGTCTGCATGTCCACTGGCTTCAGAGCTACTATCACTTGCTCCATCTTCTTGTGGGGTTTCTGGAGCATCAGAAGGACAACAGGACATTATTTGTCTCGAGGACCTTTGGTTAAGCTAGTATCAGTAATATGGTGAATTGATCTACTTACCTGCTTCAGTCTGTGCAATGTTCAGCAGTGGAGTTGTCACTTTTGTTGGACTGGAGTTGTTGTCTGTGTCCCAGTCTGACTCTGGAGAAAAAAGAATACTTAAGGTAGACACCTAATTCCAGCATTTATTGATATCTAGATATCAATTCACACAATATGTTCTTCAGAAGTTTCAGTCAACAAAATGCAAGTGCTCACCTTCATCACTCTCTGGTTTCTGGGCTGGGTTCTTGTGGATGCGTGGCTGAGGTTGTGGCTGGGGCTGTACGCCAGTGCGTGTTGTGAGGGACCGTGGGCTTGGCAGGGGAGGAGTTGCTGCAGGAGAGGGTCTACTTCTTTCTGTGCTGGCAGCTTCCTGTGCCTCTGGGCTGGAGGTATCTAGCTCCTGCTCTGGGAGGACAGGCAGAGCCCCCTGGGTTTCACCCACTAGCTCTTCCTCCAGTTTGTAGGCTGGGATGTTCTTGCTGGCCTTACTGGTGGTACTAGCTGAGTCCCAGTCAGAGGCATCTGTGTTGAGAAATACACTTTTACCAAAAATGGTCCTAACATGGCTGAAACAAGCAGACTATCTGTTCTGCTGAGTAGTAATGATTTTCTTTGGCATAAAAAAAGACATTCCAATTTATTGCTGACACTACAAAAAGTAGGAATAACATTTAAGATTCCATTTTAATATCCAGTCAGCTTGTTAACCTCAGAATTATGAGTAACAGCCCAAAATTACCTTCCAGATCATCAACATCCCCTAATCCGAGTTCCTCCATAAAGTCTGTAAGCAAAGACTCAGCATTAAACACATTGTTATGCAATCACATTAGAGAATGAATTGGAACAGCAAAGCAAGCACTGTCCTCTGTGCTATTACCTGTCTTCTTTTCAGCATCTTTGGAATCCATTAATTTACTTAGTACGGACACTGGCTCTCTATGAATTAGGGTTTGCTGAAATAAGAAGGAAAAATGCTCCATACGTTAAAATCAAAACAACTAAATTCTGATGTCATCTAAAAGTAATGGCCTTCTGAAAGTTCACCTGCTTTTCTGATTTCTCCTCTTCTGGTTCATCATCATCAACATCATCCTCCTCCTTCTCCTCCTCCTCCTCATCCCTAGTGGTCATTAAAACTGCAAAGAGAGAGTAAATGGAAAGTTTGATACATATCGAGTAAAGATACGGAACAAGTTTGGCAGAAAAAAAACAAATACACAGACAACCAGCGCACAAGCCTCTAAATATAGCCAGCTTGCATACATGCACATGCAAAATGGAGATTTTTTTAATGCATATGAGCTCATATCCGATGTGCAAGGAAAGTACTGAGGGTAAATTAGTCATTTCATATACATTAATACCAACTGCAGTGGCAGCATCACAGGCTATATAGTGTCTTTTAAATTAGGAGACTGTGAACTCAAGGAAACTTAATTTAATTTAGCCTCAATGCTTGGTCAAGTAGCTATCATAGTGTAATACAAATATCATGTGTAATTTAAATAGCCCATCATACTTTATTTGGGACCATCAGTTGGTATGTACCAAGGGTAGCGGGTTACAAGCTCAATTCTGATTCTTCATTTTAATATAAAGCCTACAGAAAGCAAGCCACATAGACTGATGTGTTCAACATAGATACTGAGAACAGATACGCAGACATAAGAAAACCATTACAGGCTGACACCCGTAACTGACGTGAAAGAAATGGGACATGATGTGATGAGTAAGGGGTTATGGGTTATATTTCGCCCTGGAGGAGAACAGAAGAACGTGCAGCAATTTAATTGGCATACCCACTGCCTTCTGGCCTCCAGGCCAACCAACACTCCTGAATACACTACTGTGCTTCGATCCTCTTAAGAAAGACGGAATATAAAGCAGGGCTAAAAAGGAATTCAATTAACAATGACTACATAATAAAACAACAGTGCCTGTTTAAATACCTGTTTGTGTCAAAGTCCAATAGACAAAGCCAGAATATATATTTTATTAAAAATTACAATATTCTCATATGAAGAGCTATCCATTATAACTGTAACTATAAATGTTAACATGTCAACAGCCAGAATGAACTGTTTGAATGTTGTCTGCTGATAAAAAGCAAAAGCAATGAACCACATCAAAAATGTATTTTCAGCTTTGAATGCTTCCCAAGGCATGAAATGGTTGCAGAGATGGCTTACTGGGGCAAAGCTTTAATGCTTTTCTGTTTTAAACTGCCATTACAAAGTAATAAGCATGAAATAAAAGACAAGAAGTGCCTGTAACCTACGTACCTTCATTGCTCTCCTCACAAATACTGGCCATGGCTTTATGTGACTTGTTAAGGGAGTTTGACCCATGTTGCTGCTTTTTGCTGGGGCTGTCTGAGCCAGACTGAAAGAGAAGAGTATGAATCGGCTTAAAACTAGAATTCCTTTGCATACCTGTCTAAAACATCTACATGGATTAAACTGAAATAAACTATTTGGAGGACCACATTCACAGCCCGATGTCAAAACTATTAACGGATACAGGTACTTGCCAACACTGGTTTTAATGTGACCTCTAATGATAAATAATGTTATATACCAATGTTAGGATCAGTTAGCTAACTAAGTTAGCTTTTCATAACTTAGCATTCTTTTGTTAACTTGATAAATTAGTCACATTTAACAGGACAGTACAGTGCTTGCATTTGCAATTAAAACATTCTGTCTAAAGACAAATTAATTCTTGTGTACAACAAGATATCATTAGCATCTAACATTGTTCCACTATTAACTTTAGCATTAGCTCATCTGAAGGGACAGCTTCTACCACTGAAACTTCCTCCTTATTAGACTGCTTTACCGCCCACTGTTTAAAGACTTTTCTGATTTAACTAGTGCAAATATGGGTTCCAGAATCTTTTTTCTTTAAATTGGCCTACATTCATATTGTCAGTTTGATGTGCTTTTCTGTGTGCTTCTACATTTTCCTTTGTGTTGCACAGATTTTTAGTCTTTAAGCATTAGGACTGTGCATTCTGACTAATCTTGATATTCAAGTGTCTGGAAGAATTCATGAACCGATATCTGATTAACTGTAGGGAAGGAAATTAAATGGAGAAAAAATGGATTTTGACAGAAAATAATATAGGGCTGTAAGCTTACCTTTTTAGGTGATGGTGTTGCACAAAACTATAGCAGCACACACTTGAAAACTTGTTTTATTATTCAAAAAGAGGGACATCGCTAGGTTTTTGCACGGGATGAGAACAGATGCTGCCTCTTCAGGAGTTAATCTAGCAGGCGATACAGCTGCACTATCTCTGCCTTCTCAGGCAGAGATGGCTCTAGGTACTAACCTCTGAGTCCCAAGGTGAGTCCTCCTCGTCATCCTCCTTTTCAATACCCAGCTCTGACATAAAATCTGAAAGGTGATTATTGAAAAAAAATTAACAAAAAACACTGAAAGAAAATGTCTTTCAACCAGCTTTAGATAATGTTTCTGAGAACCACAAAAACACACACCCCTTTTCTTATCCTGAGATTTTTCAGTTTTTTGAGGCTGCTCAACCTCTTCATCATGTTCAGACCCTTCTGATCTTTCAGTTTCTGCTTTATCATACTCCTCTTCTATATCATCCTCTTCATATTCATCTTCTGAAGATGCTTTCTCCTGGTTTGAGACAAAGAATTTTTTCAAAAACCCAATTAGCATTACGTTATATTTTTATTCACAAGAGATCATAAAAGATAAAAAAGTAACAAACACAAAATAAATATGAAATTATATGAGATGAAGGACTTATTAGGCACTGGAAGAACACAGAAGGGAAAGAAGGAAGAGGTTTCTTCTTCTACAACACACAACCACATTCAAGGCTGCTCCATCTCGACACCACATATTTTTCCACTTTATCACTGCCTAAATGAATCTACACAGCTATCACAAACAACTACACAACTACACCTACCATTCCACACTCTACAACTACTAAAAGCTTCCCAGGGTACCTGCAATGATCCTTGCACTGAAATAGTTTGGCACATGACAGACTCATCTGGATGCTCCTGCATCTTTAAATTCTTGTGTTCATGCTGTTTAGCATCGTCATCAGAGTGAGAAGTCAAATCAACATCATCAATGACTGTGTGAGGAATTTCTTCATGACATGACACCTGGCCTTCTTTAGCAATGTTCATGTCATTCTCACTTTCGTCAGCTAACTTGATACAGTCTATGTCATCAAAAGAACTTGGGCTTGGATTGGGATGTTCTGTGCCAATAAATCGATCAATAACTGTTATCTGTGACTCTTGGTCATTGTCCTCTGAAGGACAATGTATGACTTTTGAAGGTGATGGGCTGTGTGGGGCAGAATGTACCGGACTTGGCGAACCAGAGTCTGATAGTCTGCCTTCAGAAAAGGATTCATCCATTTTCTTGTGGTTATCCTCTTGGCTTTCCCTTTGGATGTCACCACTCTCAAATCTATTTCCATTAGCATCTTCAATCAGGGAATCATCTGGTGTGTCATCTGAGTTAACGCTCTTTTCAGTAACTCTGACTGTCCCACTTGCAAAGTCATACTCCATTTGTTGAACCTCACTATCAGAATCCTGATTCTTGTCATCCTCTTTGTCGCTTTCATTCATATCATGTTCTAAATCACCATTTTGGTCATCACTCCCAACAATCATGGATACTGGCATATTCCCATCATCATCCTGATTCTCCACTGTCCAGTCCTCAGCTCTCATTCTTGCCTCTACAGGGGAAATGTTATCTTTAAGTAAACCGTCTTTACTTGTGTCATCTCCCTTAGAAATAACTGCCTCCATATTTGATGTTTCACCTTCTACTTCTCCATCTTTTTCATTATCTGAGCCAGATTCCCAGGAGTCTTCAGAGCTTTCAGGTTTTTCCTTTTGTCTCAGCTGTGTCAGAAGTAATTGTGGTGGTTTTGTTTCATTACCCATCTCCTCTTGTTCATTATCACTGTCATAACACTTCACTTTGGATAATAACACAGATGATCTATGTGAATCCTCATTTATATCACTGGCGGGATGTCCTTCATCACCTGTTCCAGCAGTCTGTTTAGACACTGTGTTATCACCCTGAGGGGATGAAACATTTGGTTCCTCAAATACTGGGGTATCTGTCTCAAAATGTGTGTCATCAACAGCACTGCTTTTCTCAACTTCCAAGAGTTCTTCATCCTCCTCATCATCCCAGTCCTCTTCATCATCATCATCATCATCTTCGTAATTACCCTCATATCTGTTGTTTCTTGTTACACTGTCGACACTTTGTAGAGGCGTTCTGAAAGCTCCTGTGGGACCTGTGTTTTTATCTGAAATTGCTTCACTTTCTTCTTCATCTGAGATTCTTGACTCAACCCTGATGGCTGACACAAGACAGTCATCTTGTACATCTAAAGGTCGTGGAATTGGACTATCATAAAGAGCAAATTCAACCTTCTCCATGACGTCACTTGAGATTTCTGAAATCATTATTTTCTCTGAATTATCTTTCCCCATGCGTTCCGAATCTGCCCTTTCTTCAAGAGCATTGTTCTCTGAGATTTCTTCCTCCACCACACTGGATTGAGCATTTCTGGAAACACTTTCCTCAAGCAACACATCTGACTGCTCAGGCTGTACCTGAGATTCAGTATTCTCACCCAGCTTCATCTGATCAGGGATGTCATCACTGCCCTTTACGGCTGTGGTTTTTGCCACATCAGGATCCTCTATCCCTTTATCAGCTTCTTGTGCTAATGCAACATTTGCCTCCTCCTCTTCCTCTTTTTCACCATTACTTTCTTCTTCTTCCTCATCTTCATCACCATAGTTGTCTTCTTCATCCTCCTCCTCCTCGTCATCGTCTTCCTCTTCTTCATCTTCATCATCATTATCCTCATCTTCTTCTTCGTCATCATTCTCCTCCTCATCTTCGTCATCTTCTCCTTCCTCTGATTCTTCTGCAGGGCTTTCACTGCTCTCTGGATCCTGCTGGCTGCCACAAGGCATCTCTGAGAGATCTGCTTCACCACCTACCCCAAAGAGGTTGATGGAATGGAATAGACAGTGCAACAACAAAAAAAAAGAGTTAGAAGACAGCCAGATCAAGACAACTACTGGCAAGTTACCTTATGGGAGCTGATGAGGGGTGTGGAGTTCATCTGGGGAGGTTTGGAAAAGGAGATGGGTGTGGGAGCTACAGGGTTCTGCGGGGAGGTACTGCTGGCAGGGAGCGCCACGGCGAATGCTCGGTGTTCTATGGCATTGCCCTCGCTGTTGGGCTCAGACTCACTTCCACTCCAGGATTTGTTTGGATCCTGATCCACAACGACTACAGGGCAGGGGTTTCATGTTAAAGCACAGCCACAAGCTAAAAGGAAATTGCTCTGGACATCTGACTTAATACTTACCCTCCTTCTGTTCTCTTTTGGAGGCACTCATGAGCTTCTTTAAGTTTACCTTTTGAGGTTTCTACACATACAGAACAGATATTATCTCACGGTGATGTTATGAATGTATTAACAGTGTGCAGAACATAAGGGACACACTCTATACAGGTTAATACTATAGTTAAATGAGCCAACTCATTGTAGCATGTACGTTACTGTATGCAAAGCATGTCTTCACAATTTTCTGTTTCTGGGCACAATGTATGCTTCATTATAAATACTGTAAAGTGTTGTTTCACACTTCCCCACAACAACAAAGGCAGCTATAAGTTACACCTAAAAGAAAGGGGTTCCCGTTGTGGAAGTGCATTAAAACATACATCAAAGATTTGTTCATAAGCAAAATCAACATCGTTTGAATCTTTGCATAGAGTATAAGAAATACCTTAGGGCTCAAATCTAACTCATCATCTTCATCTGTAGAGGGCCAGGAATCAGCAGGGCCACTTCTTGATGCTCTAAACATTAAAGTTTATTATCAAGTTAATTTCATACACACACATAACAGCATCACAGTTAATTACTGTATCACAGTACACTGGGCACTTATATATGTATATTTTCTTACCTACTAATGGAGTCTGCATGAGAATTGTCCTCTGTATCTGGAAAAATGGAAGTTATATATGGAGGCAATTTAGGTGCATATTAATGATACACACTGTAAATTGCATGTTTATAAAACATTTCTCAATGCAAAATCATGGATATAATTTGTGATATGCAAATGAAATATCACCATGAAACTAAAACACCCCTTCAACAATTTCAGGTGATATTTATCAGTCTGTACACTTGTCAACTAAGCAAGCGTCAGTCATAAAACTGCACTGAATCAAAGCATATCAACATTGTTTCTTTAAAACTCAAAGAGGAAGATTTCTAGAATATTTCTACAAGATGTCTAGAGACCAGACTAACCAAAACAGAAAGAAAATATTCCATCTAATTAACACACATGACACAGCATGGTTTACCATCAACAATTTTAAAGAACTCCCGTTACATTCAATGATATAACCTTGTTCTCATTTAACTGCTTGGTTAAGAGATGGTAAAGAATGTTGTGCCTCCACTGTGGCACTTCAACACTTTTGACAATACTTGCAATACCTTTCCCTGCTTCTTTGGAGGTTCCTTCTGCAGCTATCCATTGACAAAAAAATGCAAGCAATATGAATGGGAGGAAAGTAAAAAGACCTCAGACAGAACATTGCATAGTACAATAATAAAAGCATTATTGAGCACAGATGAGAACACAAAAATGGAAGCATTAGGAAATGCTGGATGATCGCTCCCAAATGTGTCATAATGACATGTGAAGTGAAAATGAGTTTCAGAGTTTTCGGATATGCCTGGTCAAATTACATTACTTTATTGATTTTCTAAGTGAAAATAATTTAACACATCCTCTATGGAGAACTTTAAATATGTAGAATAAATATAATACTGCACAATTTCTGTTTATTTGCTGAGTTTAACATATTGGAAAAAAATAAAACATAACATATAAAACGTCATACCTTTTTCACATTTTTTAAATATGTTTAATTCAACAAATACAACAAATACACAACAATACAAAAATTGTGTTCTTTGTACAGGGCATGTTAACTTCTTTTCACTTAGAAACTCAAGCTTTGGCACCTAACTGTAAAGAAAGGTACTGTTTCCTCAGATCTAATAGAGTACACGAGATGAATCACATGCTCAGAAAACTCAAGCACTCACCATCTTTGTCTAGAGCTGGACCTCCAAGAGAGAAGCCTGCCTCAGGACTGCCCAGCATAGAAGCCTGCTTCTTTTTACCCGGGGCAAGATGGGGGGGTGACTGCAAGGATTTCCTCTTTGTTCCATGCTCAATGATCAGATGTGAACATCTGAAAACGTGAGATATCTCTATACTCAACCAGCAGACAATGAGAAGAAATTTGAACTTTGTATAGGTAAACAAAAGGAGTGCTTACGCATGATGCCCATTCATTACAGCATAGTCATCAGAAGACCATCCTTTAATGTCTTTCACAGTGATGTCAGCATTGTACTGCAAGAGCAGTCGCACCATGTTGATTTGTCCATTGCAAGCAGCTATCATCAGAGGGGGCCTTAGCAGCAAAACATTGAAAAAGAGGGAATGTGAAAAAAACATTTTAATGACTGAAAAAAAAACATTTTTTACTGTTATTCATCATTTAGCAGTTATTAATAATTTCTATTTGGCTCAGACTGAAAGGACTGACATTGTAGTTTATCAACAAGTCAACAGAAATCAACAATGTTCTCAACTATGCAAATATATGTTATGTGAACAACAGGTGTTTGAAAGGACACTTGAAGGACACCATGAACTGGACTACAAGAAGTGAAAATGCAAACTCTCGTTTATTCACATATTACTACTTCTACATTTCTATATTCCATATGAATACTGAATAAATTTGAATATTTCACATAGATTCTAACACATCTGGAGTGCCAGCTGATGCCAGCAATATTTTATGTGACCGACTATCGCTCTTACCGTTGTTCCTGGTTCTTGATATTAATATCTGCCCCCTCTTTGAGTAAAAGTTCAGCCATCTCTGCATGGTTTTCCTCCACTGAGAGAATTAAGGGAGTGTTGCCTTCCTATAAAGCCAATGAACAGCCCTGGATTAAGCCGATAAAATACATTCATTTTTATCCCTTTATCTAACCCACAGATGTCAAGTATATTTGAAAATGTTAGAATGGAACTACAGCATCCCTCTGATTAATCAACTGTTGCTTCATGGGGATATAATTTCATGCTGCCAAGCTCCTCGGATCCACTAACAGAAACTTATCCCTAACCACGTATCCGACACCTGTTGCGCTGGGATAAAGATAAAGGTAATCTGGAGTCCTGGTGAGATCCCTGCTGAGGCTTCACCTTGTTCTGGGCGTTGATGTTAGCCTCATGTTCCAGGAGCTGCAAGGCCACAGAAAGGGAGGGGATGCGGGCAGCCAAGTGTAACGCTGTGTTGCCATTGATGTCCACCAGGTTTGGATCTGCCTCATGCTCCAGAAGGATGGACACGCAGCGATCCTGCTGGCATTGCACCGCCTGCCAAGAACCACAGATAACTCAACAAACATGTTCAGTGAGACAGACACTATCAACAATGAACTCTCATTTTTTTTAGCGCTCCTAGAGGGAGCTAAAGCCCTGAAAAGAACTACGCATGTTTGGGATGTTGCATGTTGTAAAATTCTAACAAAAAATATAATAAATAACAAGTAAGATAGAATACAGAAGGTTAGAGATCAGGACAACAAATCTTACCTTCATTAAGGCAGAGCGGTTTTGATTGTCACATAGGTTGAGCTTAACTTTGCTTTCCACCAAAAACTGAACCACCTCCGTATGTCCATGAACGCAGGCTATATGTAATGCAGTTCTGCAAGTCCAATGAGGGAGAAATAAATATAGCTTTCTTTTTTTAATGTTTTCCTGAGTTTATCATTCTATAAAATTAGTACCATAACTGACTTATTTAAATATAAGCATACAGTGGAACTACAGAGACTAAAATGCATATGAAATAAATACAATAATAATAATAATAATAATAACAATAGCAACAATAATAGGAGGAGGAGGAGGAGTCTTCGCTCCAAATGTCAGAAAAACAAACCAACTGAAAATAAGGGCAGATTAGATTAGATTAGATTATAAGTGAAAAATGTTAAATTATCCAGCAGTTCTTATGGCTAATGGTGGGATTTAAGTTATCCAAACTCACCTGTTCTCTTTATCAAGCTGATTTAAATCATTCTTTTTCGCAAGCTGTCTTAATTTTGTCACATCGCCAGTGAATGCAGCCTTCTGCACCTTTCCCAAGTCTTTCTCCTTCAGGTCATACCCCACAGAAAGCACACTCCCCGTGTCAGACGCACTGGGGGAGCCTTTCTTTTTTTTGGTAAAGTTGAAGATTTTCTTCATTGTATAGCGCACCGCAGCTGACAAGAGCAAGCCTGCATTGCCCTCCTGATAAGTATACCTGAGATTCAGGTGCCGATATAGGATCACCGCACCTTCCCCATCTCCTAAAAATAAAACGTGCAAAGCGGATTAAGCAATTTAATAGCCCCAACACATAACGTTGGAAAATCAGTATCTATGGGAACAATAAAAGTGTCAGAACAAGTGGCTGATTTCCAAGTCGTCCTGTTAACAGCTGTATGCTCGATGTAGAACAATATCTTAAAGGAAAACTGTGAAATATAACTGAGCGAAGTGGTATCACACAGTAATAGCACTGGCTAATCATGACAACAATCAAGCTAGCCAGATACAAGGCAAGCACTGCACCTTAACCAAGTCGAGAAAACATAAAATATATCCTTCCCCAGCTATTTCTTCAATATGTTCTTCTTGCTAATGACCTTTGCTGGGTTTGTTAGCCAGCTAGCTAGCTAGCTGACACTAATCCAGCCAGTTAAACTACAGGCTAGTCAGCGAGCTACGCTTCGTTAACATTCCTCATTCACCTTGATCAACAGGCTGCTTGAAAAGATCCTCTTCGGTCCGACGCGTAAAGTCTTTGTCATAAAACCCAAGAAGCAATAAAATCTATGTATAATAAATATATCGATTAGCCAGCTAACGCTAACTAGCAGCGCATAACTTTCTGTCTCCCCCTTTGGCTAGCTAGCTAGCTTATCACCCAGTGAAACCGTTGAGCCCACACTAGGCTAGCTCGGTAACCAAGGCAACGGAACAGCGCCTGAGTGACCATCACATTCAAGTGGCTGCGAGAGCTGCTGCGCTGTTTTGAGGCGGGTAGACTGGAGTTAAACTTGACAGAAATTGCCTCTCTCAGTTACTTCATGTTCCATTAATTCTAATATGACGATAATATTTACATTAACTTAATATTTATTCAGGGCTATAGAAAAGGAAAGCCTGCAGTGACACTTTGGAGCTTGCTAGTTAGTAAGCTGGTTAGCTGATGACGCAGATGCTATATAGCTTTTGAGAGCTTGTTTTTAAGCGTTCCGCTTCAGCAAAATAACCTGGCCCGTGATATTAACCAACCATCGTAGATCGAGTGATATCGGAACTATGTTGTGTTATGGTTGTTGTTTCCTTACGGAAAAAGTGCCTGAGGGCGGAGCTGACCGTTGGATTGAGGCGGTTTAAAAATTGATTGACGTTGAAATAGTCCAAACAGATGATCGGTTTCTCTCACTTCTCACATACGACCCGCCCATCTTCTGGCAGCTTGTCCTTTAATGGTTTTGATTGGACAGATTGAGTTGGAAGGACAGTGATTTCGACCAATGATGTGGCGCGCAGCCGGTGATTGGTGCGCTCAGAAATTTAAACTACTTAAACCGTTTTGAGCGGGCAGCTTGAATTTCGCACCGAGCAGGCTGTATTTGTAGCGTAGAGGTAGTCGGACCTGAATGTTGATCGAAAAGGAACAACTGGACAGGAGAAGAATCCGAGTGATCTGTTAAGCTTACTTTTAAACAGAAAGGTAAACTAGGGTATTTTTTATATTATTAATATGTAGTTAACCTAGCTAGTTGCTTTCTGCTCGATAAGTGGTTGTGGTTGAAATGCTAGCTAACGAGCGATGTTTTCATGTCTGGCTAATGATTTTATCGTTTTAGTCTTGTCTTTTTAAGCTTTGTAGTGTTAGCCGAACAGTGTTTTATGGGTATTGTCTGTATTTACGATCTAGCAGCTTAAAGTTTTTGTTTCCGTAATTTGAACTCCGCGTCAGCGAGTGTTATACAGTGTTAACTCAGATAGCTGAACTTAACTAGGTTAGCTAGGTTACCACCGAACAAGAAGCTGGAAACTTTTGTTAACGTCGGTGATGCTAAATTAGAGTTTGCTAGCTAAGTCCCTGCAAAAACAAGGTAGGTTAAATAGCTGACATGAGCTAGGTCTAACGTAGCTATCTAATGCATGTGGCCGAATTGCTTTTAGCCGCGCAAAATTTGTTTTGCACAGGCCTGATCTAACTAGGTAAGCTAGGTTTCCCGATCACTTTGAGAATCGAACTTGCTTATAAATTGAATTGACACAAGCCAGCTGCCAAAAATGATGTAGCTTACTGCAGGTCTGGTTAAGTGTGGAAATGAGATACTAGCTATTCGGTTGATGGTGGCAGTTCTTGGCCAAAGACCAAAGCCTGGGCATTGTTCGACGGGAATCAAGTCCAGACATATTCTGAATCTGGCTGTCCATATTTGTCTCCCGTGCTGGAGCACAGCAAGAAACATTAAGCATTGTGATTTAGGTTACATTTGCACACTGACATTGCACAGACAATTTTCAGAGCTCTTTGTTGAGCAGAGAGTTTTGTTTTTATGTTGACTTTTAAATGGGTGGAATCTGCTGTCAAAGAAGATACAATTTTCCTAAATTCTGTAAAATTCATGAGATGTGAGCGAAGCGATTCAGAGGTTTGTTGTCAAATACTGCTCTGATAGGAACCATAGGTTCTAATGTTTACATCGTCGCCATTTTATCGGTTGCTGTCAGAAATGCCCATTGAACCTACTGTTCGTATCTACCGACACGTCTTCTGAGCTTTTATGTTCTGAATTGTACCTCTTCACCATGAATGCGTTTTAAAATATACATTTTAAGAACCATGTTTTAGAGGCATTGAGCTCTGGTTCCTGTCACCACCCCCACTGTGACAATTCTGAATCAACAAGTTTCTGTATAATGGAGGGTTTTGCATCAAATAACTTTCCATTTTGCGTGGCATTCATCATTCAGTACTAATGTATGCTGTCCTGTCACTGACCAGAATAAGATCACTAGCATTATTTATTTAAAGCCCAGTATTTTTTTTCTGTATTTTCATGTTGTACATCTTTCATCTCATCGTACTGCACACCTTCACTTTGGCTTTTAGGGACGCAGCCATGAGTTCCTTGCCGGAGGCCATGCGTTCCCTCACGCAGGTGTTCACTGGGAAACTGCAGGACTTTACTGATGAGGTTGAAAATGTTCACATGTTGTGGCTGGAGGAGATTCAGCAGGAGGCTCAGCGGATGTTCTCCAGGTATGTAATATGTGACATGCATTAAATCAAACAGGGAAACCTCAACTGCATGTGATCTGTTTGTTGTTTGTGTGTACTTGTGTTACTGTTTGCTTTAGAGATTAAATGTCCTGGTTGTGTTACAGTGATTTTAGCACAGAACCGGAGCTTATGCCCAAGACTCCGTCACAGAAAAAGACAAGCCGCAGGAAACGGGTCTCTGTGGAGCTCAATGAAAGTCGTAGCAAAAGACGGTAAGAATCTTTAGTTTGTACTGTCATTGGCATGCTGTACAAAAATTCTTATCCGAAATATGTTCGTTCTCTTACGTGATCCGTATGACTTAAAATTTGAATGAGCTTTTTTGGAGCATTAATGTGTTTGCAAGCATTTGTGTGATATTGCATAACTTTTCTCTCTGTCCAGTTTCTCTAAGGGAAAGCGCAGCAACTTGCGTCGTTCTTCAGTCCAGAACACCCTAAATTCAATTTCGGAGTTGGTAGTTTCACATGCCCCCAGTAACAGCCCGGAGACTGTGGCTGAGGAGCCTGTTCGCCGTACCAGGCGTAATAAAGCTGCAACAGCAGACAGTGAGCCTGTCAAACGTAGCACACGCAACAAAGGAGCTGCTAAGGCGAAGGAGCAGGCAGAGGTGATGGAGGAGGAAGCAGTGGAGGTGGCAGCAGTGGCTGATGCTCCACAGCCACCTGATGTCCCTGAGAATGTTCCGGAGGTGAAGGAGTCAAGCAGCTCTTCTTCTCCGGTGCAGACACTACTGTCCCAAGCTATGGTGAAAATCCCCTCAGCTGAGCGCCTCTCTGCTAATAAACTGCTGGAGTCTGGTCCCTCTCCAGGCCGCTCTGCTAATAAAATTACCATCGCAGCTGCAGGGGCTCAGGCCTCCTCACGGACCTCGGTCCGACGTTCTCTGGTGCTGCGGCACTCTCTTGTGGGCCTCAGACACAGCATGACGCAGGAAGCAGTCCGCCGTGCCTCTCGACGCTCCTTCCTGAAGAAGAAAGCCAGACTGGGCAACTCCACATGCAGCAGCTCCGTCAGTGGTGAGACTCCACACGTGCAAAAAAGCACACAGGTCCAGTAAAGATAATATACAGAATGCAGTTAGGGATGAGTGTCATGGGAAATCCTATGATTCTGGTTTTGATTAGTTTTTGATTAGCCCATTCTTTCCTCTGTATAGAAAGGAAATTGGAACAAAATCTGTTCAAAGACTAAAGGCACTTCATGTATTACTGGGCAGACTGTTGTAGTGCAAGCTTTTGGTTCTGAAAGTTTAAATACAGTTGTATGCAAATGGCCTTTGCAAACATTATGGCACATTTGTGCTTTTTATGCTTTTTTTTTTAATTGTTATATTAAGCAAAAATAGAAGTTGTGCACTAAAAATGGCTTCTTGTCAATTTTGTTCCTTGTGGCAAATGTATTACTAGTACACTACACTAAATATGTCGTCAAATTTTAATTTGCAGTATCGGTCAGATTCCCACATTGGTCTATCCCTCAAACACACTGATGTGGGAATTGTGGCCGAATGTTGGTATCCACATCTGTGTATCCCACATCGGATATCAACATTCAGCAACAATTCCTGCGTCAGTCACAATTTTTTTTTATATCTTCTCTTTTTCTAGGGGATGTTTCTATGGATGTGGAAATAGAGGAGAATGATGTAGTGATAGAGAACCAGATTGAACAGTGAGTAAATCTTTCCTCTACTTCATTATGGTATTACAAGTAAAGATTACATTTTATTTGTGAGCAGCGCTGATTTATCAGAGATGATTACCTGATCTTCTAGAATGCTTACTGAGGATGAGCCAGCAGAACCAGCAGCTGAAACCAGCACTGAAGCACAGATAACCCAGCCTGGGGTAAGATAACAGTAGAAGGTTGCTGGATTGCAATATTAGTTACATTACCTTAGTTCAGTTAAGATACTGAATACAGTTAAGTCTTTTGGAATTGTATAACGGGTAAATGTAGACAATTCAGAATTTTCTCATCTGGTTGTGCTTAAACAGGTTCCTGAGCCCAAGCAACCAGTAGACGACAAAGCACTGATGCAAAATGAGGAGCAGAAGCCCTCAACTCCCACTGCCGGGGAAAACTGTCGTTTCACGCGGTCCATGGCTCGGCTGTCGGAAACAGGTACTGATGTGACAAGTAACTGCTGCGACCACAAACTCGTGCTGATGGTGAAATGGAAACAAGTATCGTACAAATAAGATCTGAAACCATGTTAATGTGTCGTAATGCAAGTTGGGTGGTTTTCAGTATCTCTGCTGCTGATTGTGTAGTTGATTGTACTTACAATGACTAACTGAAACGAGATCCAGAACATTTTACTCAGTAGGTGCCAAATATACAAGGAACTGGGTCAAAATGGATTTCAGAATTGCTTGATCGTGGTTCATACAGGATTTAATACCTGTTGCTGTGCCCGAGCTTAACAAAGAGTAAATGCAGTCATATTTTTCATCATCGTACTACACCACACTACATTAAATTTTTTACTTGTGACATGGCAAAGTTTTCACATTGTTTGGCCGTAATGCTTTGGAAGCAAACCTGCCAAGGCACTGTAGCCCGGATCAAAAGCACATTCCATATGTCCCCTCTGGAGTAGGGACAAGTACTGAGGATCGGCAGGCAATGGTTTTTCTTATGGCTTTGTTAGATGAAATTTCCCATCTTTAATATCCAAGTAACACCTCTTTTAAGGCTAGTGGAGAGCTAAAAGTGGGATCATCTCTTTAATGATGTGTTCCTTTTGTGTCTGTAGATGACAGTGGGAAAAAGTCTCAGGATGATGTACGGTGAGTTGACTTTTGAAACTATTCTTTTAATCTATTTGTAGCGTTATTGTATTGCTTCATTGAGTGGGGCATTCTAGAGTTTAATCAAAGTGTCTTTTTCAGGGCTTCTCGCTCGGGCTCCAAACGCCGTGCAGCAGAGTCGGCAGCAATAGCACTCAGCACACCCAAGAAGAAGCACTCGCCTCCCAAGAAATGCATGACTG